AAGATTGAGAGCCCAGAGCTTCCCTCCGCAGTGGGCCCTGCTTTTGGTTGTGGGAAAGCGCCCGCCCTATAGAAATTTAGATCACCACCCTTCCTTTTTAAAACATTCCCAGAATAAAGTACAGCGACATAGGCGTTTTTTTTGAACACAGCATTTTTCCCCCCCCCCCCCCCCCCCCCAATGGCAATGAGCATGTGTAGATCGCTGGAGCACGACGACAATGAGACGCCAGCTGCGCCCGTTGTTTATTTTTTTTTTAACAGAAAAAAATGTGAATTTTTCTATTTTTTTTTAAAATTTTTACTTTTTTTTTTAAAATTTTTTTATTGATTTATACTTTTTAATGTTTTTAATTGTATTTTATGATATTGGGGCATTGAAGTCATTGAATTTTACCCTGTTAACCGCCTTGAGTCGCCTATGGGCTGAGAATGGCGGTATACAAATACAGCAAATAAATATTTATTATTTATTTATTTATTTACAGCATTTATATACCGCTTTTCTCACCCCGAGGGGGACTCAAAGCGGTTTACACATAGATAATGGCAAAAATTCAATGCCTTACAACTACAACAGTAAAACCACACTTTAAACATAAATCATATTAAAAACAGTACATCATCAAATATCAAAACAGTTATTAAAACCATAAAACAATCTCATCAGTCGAGTCACCGTTCCAGTCCTTGTCCCACTAAAAGCTGCATACATCTATTGTCCGAAGGCCTGGTCCCAGAACCATGATTTTAATTTTTTTCTAAAGGTCAGGAGTGAGGGAGCAGATCTTACCTCCTTTGGGAGTGTGTTCCATAGGCAGGGGGCCACAGCCGAGAAGGCCCTGCTCCTTCTTCCCGCCAGCCGCATTTGCGCTGTTGACAGGAGCGAAGTGGGACGTAGGGGCAGATGCGTTCAGACAAGTAAGATCTTAAATTGCGAGGTGGGACGTAGGGGCAGATGCGTTCGGACAGGTACGTTGGGACCGAACCGTATAGAGCTTTATAGGTCAAAACCAGCACTTTGAATTGGGCTTGGAGATGGACTGTCAGCCAATGGAACTGGCATAACAGGGGGGTAATAAATAAATAGAAAGCAGGACAAAACAGTCTTGCTTACCTTCTATATCAATATTCTGATCAGGAATTTCCAATTCTATCGTACTCATGCCTGATTCCTTCCAAGAACCACTGAACATACTGGAGAAATAGCCAGACTACAGAAAGGAGGAACATGCCTTTAATTCAAAGTTCTTTAAAAACATAAACACAATGAAACTCTACAGCAAATGTTCATAATTATAATGCCACTAATAATAATAATACAATGTTATAATTATATATTTATATTACATGTACTATTAATAATAATTTAATATATTGTATATAAATATATCTTGTAAGCCGCTCTGAGTCCCCTTCAGGATGAGAAGGGCAGAATATAAATGTTGTAAATAAATAAATAAATTACGCCATATTTCCATTTTGGGAAACACAACGCTAGATTTCTTTGCTCAGACATGGAAGACACTGAAAGCACGAATTCTTCCCACCTTTGAACTAATAAATATGCTTATGAACATAGTTAAAAACAGCTGGAGGGGGAAGCATTGTGTGCTCTTCTCTTACCTGAAATAAGTATATCTTGTGCAAGTTCCATTCTTCTCCCAGAGCGCAAATCTTAATATCGCTGTTTTCGCCATTCAAAAATAGAGTCTGATAAACATACTTTGAGGTGCTCTTTAGCTTTTTCCTGCATTAAAGAAGAAATTGAAATGTTGGAATCCAGCAAATAATATTGAACATAAAACTTTGAGAACTTAGTAGACAGACAACTCTTCTGTGCAAACTAGCCTCTCAAGTGTTTTAAGAACCCTTTCCTCATCTTTTGAATCAACAGTTCTAAGACTAGTTTTCATATTAAACTAAGAGAAGAAACCCAGAGAGGTGGTGTAGTGGCTTGAGTGTGGAACAGAGGGTGCATCTATACTACAGAATTAATGCATCTAATGCATCTATACTACAGAATCGACTCCATTTGAATTGCTACAGCTCAGTGGCACTTCTGGGAGTTTTTCAAGGTCTTGTGCCTTATAACTACAACTCCCAGGATCCCATAGCACTAGACTACACCAATTAAAGAGGTATGATAGAGTTGGAAAGATGTCAAGGACCATCCAGTCCAACGCCTGCCCTGACGGATGGCCATTCAGCCTCTGTTTCAAAGCCTCCACTGGACTCTGAGGCAGAGTCCCACAGTTCAACTGCTCTTCTTATGATCAGGATGTTCTTCCTAATGTTCAGAATCTCTTTTCCTGTCATTTGGAGCCATGGCCCCACTGAGGCCTAATCTCCAGGGCAGAAGGAAACAGCCTTTCCGATATTGATACATAGCTCTCGTGTCTCCTCTCAATCTTCTCTTCTGGAGACTAAACAGACCCACCACAATTGAAGTATAGTACAATCACTGCAGCACATAATATAGATGAATACATGACATAAGTGTCATGTTTCTAAGCAGTGTCAGGTTTTGAGGAGGAGGCCGGATGGCAGTCTGTTGGGAGTACTTTGATGGTGTCTTCCTCCATGGCAGAATGGGGCTGGATTGGTTGGCTCTTGGGGTCTCTTCTAACTCTAGGATCCAATAATAATAATAATAACAACAATAATAAATGATGACGTAGTCTCCTTTGCTTGAGGTTTTGAAACAAAGGCTGGATGGCCATCTGTCTGGGAGAGCTTGGATGGGGTTTTATGGCAGAATGAAGGAGGTGGACTGGGTGGCCTTTAGAGTTGCCTCCCAACTTTATTATTATTGTGAAGCAGAGACTGGATAGCCATCTGTCAGGAAGGCTTTGGTGGTGCCTTCCTTCCTGGCAGAAGGGGGCTGGACTGGGTGGCCATCTGAGTCCCTTCTAACTCTAGGATTCTATTATTATGAAGCACAAGCTGGATGGCCATCTGTCAGGAAGGCTTTGGTGGTGGTGCTTCCTAGCAGAATGGGGTTGGACTATGTGTCTTTTGGGGTTCCCTTCCAACTCTGGGATTCTATTATTATTATTATTATTAAGCTGAGGATGGGTGGTCATCTGTCAGGAGGGCTTGGATGGTGTCTTCCTTGATGGCTGAATGGGGTTGGATTGGGTAGCCATTGGGGATCTCTTCTAACTCTAGGATTCTATTATTATTATTGTTGTTGTTGCTGTTGTGAAGCAGAGGGTGTGTGGCCATTTGTGGGGAGGGCTTTGGTGGTGCCTTCATTTATGTCAGAAGGGACTGGACTGAGTGGCCACTGGAGTCCCTTCCAAATCTAGGATTCTATTATTATTATTGTGAAGCAGAAGCTGGGTGGCCATCTGTGGGGAGGGCTTTAGTGATGCCTTCCTTTATGTCAGAAGGGGAGTGGACGGGGTGGCCCTTGAGGTTCCCTTCTCCGACCTCCTGGGGGTGTTGAGGAGCCTCTCTTGGCTGCAGCTGCTCTCCTCGTCCTCCTGTATTGTTCTATTGATTCTACTATTATTATTACGAAGTAGAGGTTGAAAGGGAAGGCTGTGGTGGTGCTTATCTTCCTAACAGAATGGGGTTGGACTGCGTGTCCTTTGGGGTTCCTTTCCAACTCTGGGATCTATTATTATTAAGCTGAGGCTGGGTAGCCATCTGTCAGGAGGGCTTAGATGGTGTCTTTCTCCATGGCAGAAAGGGGTTGGATCGGGTAGCCATTGGGGATCCCTTCCAACTCTAGGATTCTATTATTATTGTTGTTGTTGTGAAGCAGAGGGTGTGTGGTCATCTGTGGGGAGGGCTTTGGTGGTGCCTTCCTTTATGTCAGAAGGGACTGGACTGAGTGGCCACTGGAGTCCCTTCCAAATCTAGGATTCTATTATTATTATTATTATTATTATTATTGTGAAGCAGAAGCAGAGTGGTCATCTGTGGGGAGGGCTTTGGTGGTGTCAGAAGGGGGTGGCCCTTGGGGTTCCTTCTCCGACCTCCTGGGGGTATTGAGGAGCCTCTCCTGGCTGCTGCGGCTGCTCTCCTCGTCGTCCTCGTCCTCTTCCCCGTCCTCGTCGCTGTCTGCGGCGCGCTCCCTCCGCCGGCCCCGCTTCCGCTTGCCCACCCCACTCCGCCTGGGCGCCCCCTCCGCTCGCCCGCCCTCAGCGGGGCCCCCTCCTGCCGCCGAGGCCCCCCGGCCGCTCCAGAGGCGGCTCCCCACCAAGCCCATGCCCTCCCGGCGCCGCCGCCTCCGCGTCTCTTCTCTTCATCGGGCCTTCAACGGCTCCCAACGGTCCCCACCGCCGTCATCTTGCGCAGCCATGACAGTTGAGGCAGTCAGGCGAGCATGCGCACTGAGCGATGGGTCCCTTTCGCGTCATAGTAGTGCGAAGGGAAAGAAAACGGCTCTTCTAATTTGCGCATGCGCCCTTCGGGAAAAAAAAGCATGGCGCTCAAACCGCTCTTCTAATGTGCGCATGCGCCCTCCAGATAAAAACAGAACTCAAACCGCTCTTCTAATTTGCGCATGTGTGGTTCCTTCCACCTCAGAGCGCATGCGCCCTCCGGAAGAAAGCACAATGCTAAATGTGTCCAGAGGAGGGCGACTCAAATGATCAAGGGTCTGGAGAACAAGCCCTATGAGGAGCGGCTTGAGGACCTGGGCATGTTTAGCCTGAAGAAGAGAAGGCTGAGAGGAGATATGATAGCCATGTATAAATATGTGAGAGGAAGCCACATGGAGGAGGGAGCAAGCTTGTTTTCTGCTTCCCTGGAGACTAGGACGCGGAACAATGGCTTCAAACTACAAGAGAGGAGATTCCATCTGAACATGAGGAAGAACTTCCTGACTGTGAGAGCCGTTCAGCAGTGGAACTCTCTGCCCCGGAGTGTGGTGGAGGCTCCTTCCTTGGAAGCTTTTAAACAGAGGCTGGATGGCCATCTGTCAGGGGTGATTTGAATGCAATATTCCTGCTTCTTGGCAGAATGGGGTTGGACTGGATGGCCCATGAGGTTTCTTCTAACTCTTTGATTCTATGATTCTGTAAGTCAGTTTCTAATTTGCGCATGCGTAGTTCCGCCCATCTCGAAGAGCATCCCTCCTCCTGATAAAAAAGCATAAAACACAACTCTTCTAATTTGCGCATGCGTGGTTCCGTCCACCTCAGAGCGCATGCGTCCTCTGAGCACAAGGCTTGAAACGCAATTTCTAATTTGCGCATGCGTAGTTCCGCCCATCTCGAAGAGCATCCACCCTCCTGATAAAAAGCATAAAACACAGCTCTTCTACTTTACGCATGCGTAGTTCCTTCCACCTCAGAGCGCATGCGTCCTTTGAGCACAAGGCTTGAAACTCAGTTTCTAATTTGCGCATGCGTAGATCCGCCCATCTCGAAGAGCATCCACCCTCCTGATAAAAAAGCATAAAACACAGCTCTTCTAATTTGCGCGTGCGTGGTTCCTTCCACCTCAGAGCGCATGCGTCCTCTGAGCACAAGGCTTGAAACTCAGGTTCTAATTTGCGCATGCGTAGTTCCGTCCATCTCGAAGAGCATCCACCCTCCTAATAAAAAAGCATAGAAGAACACAGCTCTTCCAATTTGCGCATGCGTGGTTCCTTCCACCTCAAAGCGCATGCGTCCTCTAAGGACAAGGCTTGAAACTCTATTTCTAATTTACGCATGCGTAGTTCCGCCCATCTCGAAGAGCATCCATCCTCCTGAGAAAAAAGCATAAAACACAGCTCTTCTAATTTGCGCATGCGTGGTTCCTTCCACCCCAGAGCACATGCGTCCTCTGAAAAGCACAAGGTTTGAAACTCAGCTTCTAATGTGCGCATGCGCATTTCCTTCCCTCTCGGGACGCATGCGCATTCTGAAAAAGTTGCTACGCTGGGGAGGAAAGCCTGAACATATAACACTCTTCTCCAAAATTGGGACATACGTCACTTCCGCTTTCGGCCGGAAACAGGAAGTGAGTTCTTCCCCCACGCGTGGAAGGCTCAACGTGAGCGGCGATGGCGAAGGAGGGCGGAGGAGGGCACCGAGCGGGGCTGTTGAAGCAGCAGAACAAGCCGCACAAGGGAGGGAAGCACCGCGGGAACAACGCCCAGAGGCAGGCCGGTGAGGACGTGATAGGCCGGTCAAAAGGGGGTGGACCGTATGCAAATATATGCAAAATAGACACGTGTTTGTGTATTTCCCCATCAATAAATATTCCTCACGGAGCAAATCCATAGATATAATTGGTGTGTCATTATTAGGCCAAAGGGAGGCGTATGCAAATGTATGGTTATCTCATGGTAATTTATGCTTGTCATGTTAATGTTTTTCATGTTATGCTAGTGTCATGTTGATGCTAGTCAAGTTCATATATTCTAGTGTCATGGTAATTTATGCCAGTCATTTTAACTTCTGCTATTTCCATGTCAATTTATGCTATTTATTTATTTATTTATTTGTCGTGTCAGGGCAACCAGTCAATTGTATTACATTTCTACCAGAACAACAACAACAATAATAATAAACCTTTATTTGTACCCCACTACCATCTCCCGAAGAACTCAGTGCGGCTTACAAGAGGCCGAGCCCAAATACAGTAATAAAACAATAACAACAAACAAACAAACAAACAGACAAAACACAGAATTTGCAAGCTTGGTAGTTGATTAAAATGTCCTTTGACCAGTATCTGGCCACTTGGAGTGCCTCTGGTGTTGCCACAAGAAGGTCTTCCATTGTGCATGTGGCAGGGCTCAGGTTGCATTGCAGCAGGTGGTCAGTGGTTTGCTCTTCTCCACACTCGCATGTCATGGATTCCACTTTGTAGCCCCATTTCTTAAGATTGGCTCTGCATCTCGTGGTGCCAGAGTGCAGTCTGTTCAGCGCCTTCCAAGTCGCCCAGTCTTCTGTGTGCCCAGGGGGGAGTCTCTCATCTGGTATCACCCATGGATTGAGGTGCTGGGTTTGGGCCTGCCACTTTTGGACTCTCGCTTGCTGGGGTGTTCCAGCGAGTGTCTCTGTAGATCTAAGAAAACTATGTCTTGATTTAAGTCATTGACGTGCTGGCTGATACCCAAACAAGGGATGAACAGGAGATGTCTCTGCCTTGGTCCTTTCACTATTGGCTGCAACTTCCCGGCGGATGTCAGGTCTTCTGATGGTCTTTGGTGACCCCTCTAACACCCCCTTATGACCCCCACTCTAGATGAAAGGCTATCCTCCCTCCATCACAACCACTATTATTGTGGAGTTAGAGAGAAAGAAGAAGAGGCAGACAAAGTCCCACTATACCTAGGCCTAGAAATAGACAAAAGATTGTATATTCATCCCATGATCTCTGGAGACCAAAAGCCAAATCCCTGCTCAGCCATGGAAACCTACCAGATGACCCTTGGAGACAAGCAAAACAAAGCCAAGCCCTCTCTGAACAAATCTTGCCAAGAAAATCCCCTGATAGGATTGCCTTGAGGTCAATGTAAATTGGAAATGAAGATACGTAGTAACAAGGACAATCCAAAGAAATGGTTTCACAAACAATAAATAATATTTCTTAGCAGCTATGCTCTTAAAAAAAAGAGGAAGAGTGAATAGTATATTTGGTACCAACATATTACTGGTTCCATAATTAGCTCTCTGCCAGAGATTTTGCTAAATATAGTAGACACTCAACACTATTCTCTAGCTGTCCAAATATAATTAATAAGTATAGGTGCAATTAGATGGTGGTAACCCTAATAATCTAGATCAATGGCTGGCAAATCCTTAATGAAGTGTTAAATTGGGTCTGTCGCCCTACAGCAAAAGTCCCCCGAAAGGCTGTTTCGGTGATGGATTCTGTGTCTCTCCTGCCCCGGATTGGGATATGATTCCTCAAAGAGATGGATGAGGCTGGGGCACGGACAGCCACAAGGCAGGGGGCGGAGTGGCCCATTTGGGGTGAGAGGAAATGCCTCTTCACAACAATGTGCAAAGAAAGCAAAGAGTGTTAGGACAAGAGGCTCCCGCTGTCCAGAACTATCCGGTGCCAAATAGCAATGTGAGAGAAATTGGCTTTTTTTTTTTTTTACAAAAAGGTTTTTGCCCAAATTTTGCAGAAACATACCTAATTTGTGGCAGAAAATCTCTACATTTTGGGACTTGCAACATATGCCATGATAAGAGAAAGGAAAGGATTTTTTTATCAACAGGCAAATACAATGCTTTGCAGTCAAGTTAGCATGAATACAATTGAGCTACACTTTATGTGTCAAAGATTTATTTATTACTAGCCATCCCCTGCCACGCATTGCTGTGGCCCAGTCTGTTTATATGTGTTTTGTGTGTGTTTATATGTGTGTTTGTGTATATATGTGTGTGTGTGGGGTGTGTGTGTGTATATTTGTTTATTTGTGTGTTTATATGTGTACATGTATATTGTATATATGTGTGTGCTTGTCTACATGCATATTTGTGGGTATATGTGTGTATTATGTATGTGTAGAGCCCCAGGTGGCGCAGTCGGTTAAACCCCTGTGCCGGCAGGACTGAAGACCGACAGGTCGCAGGTTTGAATCCGGGGAGAGGCGGATGAGCTCCCTCTATCAGCTCCAGCTCCTCATGCAGGGACATGAGAGAAGCTCCCACAAGGATGATAAAAACATCAAATCATCTGGGCATCCCCTGGGCAACGTCCTTGCAGACGGCCAATTCTCTCACACCAGAAGCGACTTGCAGTTTCTCAAGTAGCTCCTGACACGACAAAAAAATTGTATGTGTATATGTCTATGCATGTGTACGTATGTATATATGTGTGTATATATTTGTGTATTTATGTGTTTATATGTGTACATACATATTATGTATGTGTGTGCTTGTCTACATGCATATTTGTGTGTATATGTGTGTATTATGTATGTGTATATGTATATGTCTGTGCATGTGTACATATGTATATGTGTGTATATATTTATGTATTTGTGTGTTTATATATGTACATGCATATTGTGTATATGTGTGTGCTTATCTGTATGCATATTTGTGTGTATATGTGTGTATGTAAGTGTATATGTATATGTGTGTGCATGTGTCTATGTATATATGTATGTGTGCATATGTATATGTATATGTATGTGTGTGTATATTTGTGTGTGTGTTTGTGCATATATATACGTGTGTGTGTATGAATGTGTGCATGTGTATATGTATATGAGTGTATGTGTATATGTATATATTGTGTATTTTGAGGGTTTTTAAGTCTGTTCTGCTGGAGTTGTGTGTGTTTAGGGGTGATAGACACTCGTTGGACTGTTAGGTGTGTTGTGTCTAAATTCGGTGTCAATTTGCCCAGTGGTTTTTGAGTTATGTTAATTCCACAAACGAACATTACATTTTTATTTATACAGATTATTTATTTATAACATATATTCTTCCCTTCTCACCCAAAGGGGACTCAGGGCCAAAATATAAATGGCAAAGATTCAATGCTGGGACATAAAATAAACTATAAACATACATAAACACTAACATCAGTTATCTCAACTTTTAAACCCACTGTTTAAAACTATCTCTAATCAACCACATCAAATCCAGTCAGCAGGGTAAGGTTTCCTATTGCTGCCTTAGTGCACTGTCCCAAAGTCTTGATCCCACAGTCATGTTTTTACCATCTTTCTGAAGCGGAGAAGGGAGGGGGCTGATCTAATCTCATGCCATAGATGAGGGGCAATCACTAAGAAGGCCCCCTCTCTCTCGTCCCTACCCGTCATGCCTGGGGAGTGGCGGGACGGACAGCAGAGCCTCCTTGAAAAATCTTAATCTCCACATCACAGTGGTTCATAGAGGGATTTGCGTTTGGACAGGTATATTGGGCTAGGGCCATTTAGGGCTTTATAGGCCAAAGCCAGCCCTTTGAATTGTGCTCGGTAGCAAACTGGCAACCAGTGGAGTGAACGTAACATGGGAGTTGTGTGCTTCCTGTATGCCGCCCCAGTTATTAACCTGGCTGCCTCTCATTGGACTATTTGAAGCCCCTGAACAGTTGCATTGCAGGTGGTCAGTGGTTTGCTCTTCTCCACACTCGCATGTCGTGGATTCCACTTTGTAGCCCCATTTCTTAAGGTTGGCTCTGCATCTCGTGGTGCCAGAGCGCAGTCTGTTCAGCGCCTTCCAAGTCGCCCAGTCTTCTGTGCCCAGGGGGGAGTCTCTCATCTGGTATCACCCACGGATTGAGGTGCTGGGTTTGAGCCTGCCACTTTTGGACTCTCGCTTGCTGAGGTGTTCCAGCGAGTGTCTCTGTAGATCTTAGAAAACTATTTCTAGATTTAAGTCGTTGAAGTGCTGGCTGATACCCAAACAGGGGATGAGCTGGAGATGTCACTGCCTTGGTCCTTTCACTATTGGCAATAGTGAAATTTATACTAATTTCATATGAATTTATGCTAGCCATGTTATGGTTTTCATGTTATGCTAGTGTCATCTTTATGCTAGTCATGTGAATTTATTCTAGTGCCATGGTAATTTATGCCAGTTATTTTAATTTATGCTACTTCCATGTCAATTTATACAAAATTCAGGTTAATTTAGGCCGATCTCATGTTCATTTAGGATTATTTCATGTGGTCATGCTTTTCTGTTTATGCTAGGGTCCTTTCTATGCGAGTCATGTTAATTTATGTTAATTTCATGTTAATTTATGCCAATTTCACATAGGTTGTCATGCAAATTTTATGGTTATGCAATTGCCCTTTCTATGTTCATGTTAATTTATGCTAATGTCATGATAATTTATATAAACCATCTATTTCATCCCAATAAAATACGTTCCTTTGTGGATAAGTTGGCTGTCACTGAGCCTGATGATGTTGATGATGTTATTAATTGTTACTAGCTCTTTCTCCATGGATTTAAAAGTGTGCCTGACTATCTTCTCTATTGGTTGCTGTAAGTATACTGGTGGAGAGAAAAAAAGCATATAAATAGACATCATCATCATCATAAGAAATGCTAATGTTTCATAAAAAGTAGAGAGGCCGTTTCAAGCTGCCTTTCTTCTTTCTCAGGCCGCATCCCTGTCAAGACCTTTAGCCAGCAGCAATGTCGCACATTGGCCAAGCTGGACCGCAAGAACCGGGCCTGGCAGCTCCGCCAGCAGCGAAAAGAGGCCGTAAGTCATTGATATTGGTGAATAAATTTGTTGCTGTGACTTTTTCAGGCTGCTTGAGCATGTTCCAGCAGCATTCTCTCCTGACGTTTCTCCTGCACCTGTGGCTAATGGCATCATCAGAGGTCCTGTTGGAACTGAAGCAAGCAACATTCACAGTGACATGGTGGTTGTCAGAGAAGTCAGCCATAGCAGAGAACTTGATGAACCAACCTGGACACACATTAACTATTTCAGAACACAGAAATGCTGGACCACTCTAACAACTGCCGTGTCGGGCTACACAAAGAAGCCAATGAAATCCACAAGAAGCATGTAGACAATTTCAACAGAAAGGAGGAAACCATGAAAATGTAGAAAATCTGGCTACTAGTATTTAAAACAACACAAGAATCAAAACAGTAAATAAGGAACACTACTTAGAAACGGCAATTCCAGATTGCAAACAACCAAGGGCCAGTGAACAACTCCCAAACAGAGGATGCCTCCATGCAACAGAAGCCAGGTTACCTCTATGCAAATACCCTCACTGATTGACTTTGAAGCCTCATGGCTACTTAGAATCATAGAATCAAAGAGTTGGAAGAGACCTCATGGGCCATCCAGTCCATCCCCCGCCAAGAAGCAGGAATGTTGCATTCAAATCACCCCTGACAGATGGCCATCCAGCCTCTGTTTAAAAACTTCCAAAGAAGGAGCCTCCACCAAGCTTGCTATTGTAACATTCACACTTGCTTCAAACAGGCAAGGGTTCTTTCTTCCACCCTGGACATTATTCCACAGGTATATATACACCCCACTTGCCTCTGCCAACAGAACCCCTGAAGATGCCATTTGCCACAGATGCAGGCCAAACACCAGAAGAGAATGCTGCTGGAACATAGCAACAACAACAACAATAATAACAATAATAGCAACAACAACTTTATTCTTATACCCTGCCACCATCTCCCTGAAGGTACTCAGGGTGGCTTACATATGGGACAAAATGCCCCTAAGACATAAATACAAAACAATCTTATTTTATTGCTTTTGTGATGTCTTATACTGTTTAATGTTTTTTATCTATTATGTTTTATGTATACTGATTTGTTGGAAATCGCCTTGAGTTGCCAATTGGCTGAGAAAGGCGGTATACAAATACAGCAAATAAATAAACAAATAAATATTAAAGCAAAAACACAAAATAAGAGCATAGTAAAATATAACATTGCCATACAGCCTGGAAAACTCACAGCAACCCAATAATCATAATCATGATGGTGATGGTGATGATCTTGTTTGCTGTGAACTCATCTTGTTGTGTTTCAAATAATAATAGTAATAATAATAATAATAATAATAATAATAATACAAGCCGAGGCATAACACTGTTGCTCAGATGTTCCATTGGAACTTGTGTCACAAATACCATCTGTTTGCGACAAAAAACTGGTGGGATTCACAAGCCTGAAAAAGTTACAGAAAATGAACACGTCAAACTACTCAAAGACTTTTGAATTCAGAGTTTTGGAGCACAATACTCCTGACCTCATGATCATGTTAAAAAACAAAGTGTGGATCGTCGATGATGCAGTCCCAGATGACAGCAGGATTGAAGAGAAACAACTGGAAAAGCTGACACGCCACAAGGAGTTAAAGATCGAATTGCGAAGACCTTGGCCTGCACTTAATCACAATCAGCGCTGACAAAATTACCATCTGCCAGCTGCAAAAGGCCACCCTACTGGGATCTGGAGTATTATTCGCCGATACATTGCATAGTCCTAGACACTTGGGAAGTGTTTGACCTGTGATCCAATACAACAACCAGCATAGTGATCTTTTTTTCTGTGGACTCATCTTGTTGTGTTTCATATAATAATAATAATAATAATAATAATAATAATAGTGATGATTGTGATGAATTTTCTAGTGGGACCATTCATAGCATTCCAAATGACTCTGGTTTCAAGCTAGCAAATGTCAGGGTTGCTGTGAGTTTTTCTACTCCAGGCCCTTGGGCTTCTTCCAGCTCGAAGCTTCCATGATTCAGTGCCTTGCTCTTTGCTCACTGCTCACAGGTGCTAGAAGAGAAGCGGAACTTGGGCCGCAAGGATGGGCCGCCACACCTGGTGGTCGTGGTGCCGCTGCATGCCAACGTTGTTGCCCAGAGCGCCTTGGATTTGTTCCAGAGTGATGGAGATTCTGTCGTGTGCCGTACCGAGGGGGGCCCACCAGGCTTCGCTTTGCTCTGCCCCCGATTCAAGCTGCGGTGGCGTTTTGTGGTGGCCAATACAGGTGAGAAGGATCCACCTTTTGCTCACCTACAGTTCTTTTTGAAGTCACTTTAATTGAATCCTTAGATTGTGACCAGAAATCTAGTTCTTCTAAGAGCAAAGAATACTGGAAATACCTGATGGGTGTCTTGTAAGAAAGAGGCAGTCTCAAGATGTGGAAAAGAAAGGTGGTCTTTTTTAGGGGATTAGTTTTAAAAATATTATTATAAATTTATTTATATATTACTTTTTCTCTCCTAAAAGACATTCAAAGCATGGATTCGAAAAAGAATGCTGCTCAAGCTGACTTCAGTTTAAGGGCATAAGCTTTGGAGACACTCTTTGTTGCACTCCAGAACAGGAATAGCCCTCTGACTTCAAAACACTACACGTTGAGTAGGAAAACAACCCTTTTCTTATTGAAGATAAGTAAAAACAGCAAGGTTAAAAAAACACTTTAAGAGAATAGGTAAATGCAATTAGGTTAGAAGATAAGCAGGAACAAAGTATTCCAAGGTAGGGTTCAGCAAAGTTCAAAAACAAAGTCCAGACTTTTCTAATAAAATCCAAAGAACCAGGGAAACCTTGATATGAAGCATGAGTATATAATCACAAGAGACAGAGAGTGAAACCACAAACAAGAAATCCTTAAACATGAATCTTCCAAGCAAGGCTTCCATAAGACAAGAGCAAGAACTTAGCAGGATTCTAAAACAACGCTTCATCTGACTATATTTCCCATACGTGGAACTTTATATCCCCTCGTTAAACCATTCCAAGCACTCAGAAATTGGTTTCGTTTTCCCTGAATGCCTCTCATCCTTATTTGTCAAAGCCTGGCAGAATGCCGAAGGCTTTGGCAGAGCTGTCTGTTTTGGCTAATTTCCACCCGCCTGTCTCATTAGTTTCTCCGGGTGCCAAGTTGTTTTCAAGCCCCAAATTCTGGGAACACTCTGGGAGCAATTCGGGGAGTCAACTCTCATCCCTATAACCTGTAGGAACATTCTCATGGGAAGCTACACTTTGAACTGGTGTCTCTATGTCATTCTCTGCATTAATATCATTGACCAAACCATTGCCATCTTGACCCCCATTGACATAATTCCCCACATCTAAAGCACCTTGACCTTGAAACACAGTCACAAGCTGAACTCCAACACTCTTTGAAATCTTAGCAGAGTGTTCTCCCCTGAAGAAGACCATGAAATATTTCAGTCTCAAAACATACTGGCTCTTCCTAAGAATCTCTAGTCCTGCAGCATAGCTCTGTGGGCAGTTGGACTGGAGGACCTAGAGATAGCCATATGAATCAAATCATGCATAATCTGGTGTGTCCAGCTGCCAAATCTTTTGTGGCAGCTCATTCCAGTGTCTGGGGCTAATAAAGGTCCATGGAGTTGTATACTTCAATTATCCACACACTTCTTCTCTTCCAGGGAACCTTCATACTGTGCTGGACCTTGCCAAGGTTGCCGATACGCTCCTTTTCCTGCTGGATCCCATGGAGGGCTGGGACGCCGCTGGGGATCATTGCCTCTCCTGCATCTTTGCCCAGGGCCTCCCTAGTTATGGTGGGTGTCATGCAAAAGAAGGCTGGGATTGCAGGGCAGTCCCTGCTTTCCTACTCAGAGAAATGCCAATCCTAAAACCTAAAATGTTGAGGAAGAGATGGAACTCGCCTTTTGTGCCCTTTATGGTTTGATTTCTATCATTTCAGCCTATCCACCATAATCTATTATTTAACATGGGAGGAATCTTTTAATTCCTTAAGTGTGACTCTTGGGTCGGTTTCTGCTGAGGGTTGAAGTATAGAATCACACTGGAGGACTTGGAGATTCCTTGAAGAAAAATTGTACTCAAGTCTGCAAAAGTCTATAAACGTGAAAGGCAAACTCTATTTCTGACATCCGTAGTATGACTAAATGAGCGGTTAGAACAGTGTTTCTCAACCTGGAGGTCAGGACGCCTCGGCGGGGGGGGGGGGGGGGGGGGGGGGGGGGGTCGCCAAAAACCATCAGAAAACACAGTATTTTCTGTTGGTCATGGGGGTTCTGTGTGGAAAGTTTGGCCCAATTATATCATTGCTGGAGTTCAGTTCTTTGATTGTAGGTGAACTATAAATCTCAGCAACTACAACTCCCAAATGTCAAGGTCTGTTTTTCTCAAACCCCACCAGTGTTCACATTTGGGCATATTGTGTATTCGTGCCAAGTTTGGTCCAGATCGATTATTGTTTGAGTCCACAGTGCTCTCTGGATGTAGATGAACTATAACTCTAAAACTCAATGCCCACCAAACCCTTCAAGTATTTTCTATTGGCCGTGGGAGTTCTGTGTGCCAAGATTGGTTCAATTCCATTGTTGGTGGAGTTCAGAATGCTCTTTGATTGTAGGTTAATTGTAAATCCCAGCAACTACAACTCCTAAATGACAAGGTCTATTTTCCCCAACCCCAACAGTATTCAAATTTGGGCATATCGGGTATTTGTGCCGAATTTCATCCAGTAAATGAAAATACATCCTGCATGTCAGATACTTACATTACGATTCATAACAGTAGCAAAATTACAGTTAGGAAGTAACAACAAAAATAATTTTATGGTTGGTAGTCACCACAATATGTGGAACTGTATTAAGGGGTCACGGCATTAGAAAGGTTGAGAAACACTGGGTTAGAATTTAAAATACAATTAAAAGCCCATCTCTTCTGGCAGGCCTACCCAGTCCACTTCAAACCAGGGGATTTTAAATTTTCATTCTGTTACTACTGTATTTTAATCGTTATTCCATGTGTTTTAGTGATGAGTCTACCCCGCTCCAAACAGTTTCTATTGCAACCCAGTGATTCAAACTTAGGTCTCACAAAGCACAAAATACTTTAATGTACTGGTTTCCTAAGCCAACTTTTGTAAGGCAATGCAATGTGTTTCTATAGCTGATTGGTGATTTGAACCCAGTTCTTACAATGCACAAAATACTGTAATTTACTGACTTTTAAAGCTAACTTTTACAAGGCAATGCAGTGGGTTTCCATGCTTATTTTGGATTTGAACCCAGGTTTGCCATTACAGAAAATACTATAATGTGCTGGCTTTTTAAGCTAATTTTCGCAAAGCCACACAATGGCTTTTCATGCTTATAGGGGATTTGAACCCAGGTCACCTAGTGCACAAAATACTTTAATATACTAGCTTTCTAAGCTAACCTTTGCAAGGTAATGCATTGGGTTTCCATGCTTATTGCTCCATTGGGACCCAGCTGGTTCTTTCTCCCCTCCAGGCCTCGCCATCCAGGGCCTGGCTGGGCAGCCGCCGAAGAAGCAAAGCGAGTGCCGGAAGAAGTTGAGCAAAGCTATGGAAAAGCGCTTCCCTGGAGCCAGGCTCTTTGCCCTCGACACAGAGCAGGAGTCGGCCTTGCTCCTCCAGCACCTTGCCGGGCAGAAGCAGCGACACCTGGCATTCAGAGACCGGCGTCCACACCTGATGGCGGAGGTGACCCAGTTTGTTCCCAACCCAGAGAGCCCCTCGGTGGGCACCCTGAAAGTGTCCGGGTACCTGCGAGGCCGGCGCCTGAACGTGAACGCTGTGGTGCATATCGCAGGACATGGGGACTTCCTGATGAGCCAGATGGACGCCCCTCCAGAGCCCTTTGCCCTCAACCCTCGAGTCACCAAAGGGCCACCAAGGAGCATGAAAGACCAGGTGCGCTCTTCTTGAAAAAATGTTTATAATAGATACAGCTAAAATGATTGGAATTCAACCCACTTCTCATGTTCTATTTCTTAATAATTATTATTATACCCTTTTTTCCCCTCTTCCCCTTACTCTTTTTTTGTGCCCCTTCACCAGGACCAACCAACTCATGTTGTTTCCCAATTCCAAAATGTCATTGTTTCTGTTGCAGGCTTATACCCCTTTCCCTCATTTAAAATGTACTCTATAAATTTTCCCCATATTTTCCAAAAATCTGTTTGTTTCCATATTCCCCTTTTTAATTTTAATATTTCAAGTTAACTTATCATTAATAGTTATATCCCAAATTTCCCTATACAAGTGTTTCTCAACCTTCCTAATGCCTTGACCCCTTAAAACAGTTCCTCATGTTGTGGTGACCCCCAACCATAACATTATTTTTATTGCTACTTTATCACTGTAATTTTGCAACTGTTCTGAATCATAATGCAAATATCTGATATGGAGGATGTATTGTCATTCATTGGACCAAATTAGGTGATACACCCAAGTTTGAATACTGGAGGGGTTGGGGGGAATTGATTTTGTCATTTGGGAGTTGTAGTTGCTGGGATTTATAGTTCACCTACAGTCAAAGAGAATTCTGAACTCCACCAACGATGGAATTGAACCAAATTTGGCACAAAGAACTCACATGACCAATAGAAAATACTAGTATGGTGGGCATTGACCTTGAGTTTTGGAGTTGTAGTTCATCTGCATCCAGAGAGCACTGTGGACTCAAACAATGATGGATCTGGACCAAACTTGGCACGAATATTCAATATGCCCAAATGTGAATACTGGTGGAGTTTGGGGAAAATAGACCTTGGCATTTGGGAGCTGTAGTTGCTGAGATGTATAGTTCACCTACAATTAAAGAGCATTCTGAACCCCACCAACGACAGCGTTGGGCCAAACTTCCCACACAAAAACCCCTTGACTAACAGAAAATACTGTGTTTTCTGATGGTCTTTGGTGACCCCTCTGACACCCCCTTGCGACCCCTCCAGGGGTCCTGACCCCTGGGTTGAATAACACTGCCCTATACCATTCTTTTAATTAAATTTCCTTTTTTTTCTTTTCAATTTTTTGCTATTAGCAATTTAGCTGCTGTTATCAAATTAGAAACCAATTCTTTCTCCTCTTGTGATGGAATTATATTGTCATGTATAAGTAATAATGCTAATTTTGGTGTAATTTAGATCTCTATTTTTATTATTGCTCTTATTTCTTTGAATATGCTTTCCCAAAATTTTGTATAATTTTACATGGCCACCACATATGAAGGTATGTCCCTATTTACTGACAGACTCTCCAACACTGATTTGAGTATTTTTTATCAATTTGATTTAATCTAATGGGAGTTAGATACCACCTCTATACCGTTTTATAGTAATTTTCCTTAATTCTTATAGACATATTTTTTAGTAATCTCATACTCCATATCTTTGTCCATTCCTGATTATTCACTCCCCCCCCCCCAGTCTACTTCCCATACTTTCTTCAAATCATCTTGTTCCTGTTCGTCCATTAATAATAGTTTATAGATATCTCTTTCTGTACCTTTTAATGTATAAGTTGATAAAAGATGAGTGGTAGAGGTATATGTAGTATAAGTTGTAATGGAAAGTTTAAAAAATGATAAGAAATACGGTTAAAAGTGTTTTTGATTTTTTTTTCTTTTACTGTTAGACTAGCCACCCCCTGCCACACGTTGCTGTGGCCCAGTCTGGTGATCTGGGAAATAAAGTAATGAGAAAGTTGATTTCTAATATATGTATATAATTCCTTTGTGCTTGTGGGTAAACAGTATTTCTTGCTGTTTCTTTGTCAGTGTTGATGTGGAAAGTGTCTGGTTTGCCTACTCTGGAATATGCAACATATCATAGTCCTTCTTTAGGGGTCCCTTTCAAATCTATGATACTGTGTCTGTGTGTGTGTCTGTGTGTGTGTGTGAATCATATCTATCTCTCTATATCTATGGCTGGGTGGCTCTTTGTCAGGAGGGCTTTGATTACGTTTTCTTGCCCTGGTGAAGGGAGTTGGACTGGATAGCCTTAAGTATGTTCTGTTGGTCATGGGGGTCTCTGTTTGGGAAGTTTGCCCCAATTCTGTTGTTTGTGGGCTTCAGAATGCTCTTTGATTGTAGGTGAACGATAAATCTAAGTAACTACAACTCCCAAATTTCAAGGTCTATTTCCCCTAAACCCCATCTGTGTTTATGTGTGGGCATTTTGAATATCACTGCCAAGTTTGGTCCAGATCCATCATTGTTCTCTGGATGTAGGTGAACTACAACTCCCAAACTCAAGGTCAATGCCCACCAAACCCTTCTAGTGTTTTCTGTTGGTCATGGGAGTCCTGTGTGCCAAGTTTGGTTCAATTCCATCATTGGTCTCATTCAGAATGCTCTGTGTTTGTAAGTAAACTATAAATCCCAGCAACTACAACTCCCATATGACAAAATCAATTTTTTAAGTGAAGGACATACATTGGGTTGTTAGGTGTATGCTGTCCAAATTTGGTGTCAATTTGCCCACTGGTTTTTGAGTTCTGTTAATCCCACAAACGAACATTACATTTTTATTTATATGGATTGTTTATAATGTGACATACTCTCTTATCTAAGATATTGTAAAAAGAGGGAGGAATGTATACTTATACATTTTGTTTGATAAACTTATATATTTTTAAAAGGAACTCAGCCCACACTGCTCAAGTCTACAGTCCTCAATGAGGAACAGTTAGTTATCTTAGATACTAATAAAATTACATTAATTGAAGAATCAGTAGGTTAAATGTTTTTGAATATTGACATAAAACTGTCATAATTTACTCAAAAATAGAGTAAAATAAAGGAAATGTAATAATAACAGCAATAATAGAGTAAAATAATACATGTAATAATAATAATAATAATAATAATAATAATAATAATAATAATAATAATAAAAAGAGCAGGCGAGTCCTTGTGGTTTTGCCTCCAATCCTGAAGGCAGAGACACAAAAGAGCTCTAGTGTGGATGACAACTGTTTGTTTCTCCCTCTTTTACTCATTTTCATCCAGAAATTAAGAAAGAAGAGAAGACCAAACAAATCATTACTCAAAGTAAGCTTCAAACTCTTTGTCCTAAACCACCTTCCATCGTTGAGTCTCTCTTTCTTGGTCCTTAGGATGAGTTGGCGGATGGAGCAGCTGAGATGGAGGAGGAGGTGAAGGTGCTGAGCAAAGCTGACCTGAGCAAACAGGAGCCACTCCAGTCGGAAGCGGTCCCGGACCCCATGGAGGGCGAGCAGACCTGGCCCACGGAGGAGGAGCTGAAGGAGGCTCAAGGTCAGCTGATGATAAGCCCTGGGTCTCTTATTCCTGCCAGAAATCTTGATTTTTTGCTATTTGCAAAAAGACTGGGCTGCGTTTTGAGTTGTCTCTGGTCTGGGTAAATCTTCATCTCTCTGGATAGACTCCCTTCCCTAGTTAGTTTTGTAGGTTGCACCCATTCTCCCTTTATGGACTTCTTGGGTTTTGAAATATCCCTCTGGGCACCGGCCATGTGTTCTTAAGTGCTGGAAATCACAACCTTCTACAAGCCTCCTATACTAGTTATTTGTTGTGTATAGAATTCAGATTGCTTACTATATTGTATGTATATTTTGATATGCAGTTTTTCATTAACTCTATGTTGTTTGAGGTTGTGGGAGGGACAATAGACCGTGTGACCAGATCTGGGACTGTTCAGACTGAGACTCCATTTTAGAAGTCATTTGCATCAGAAGCAGTACAGTACAGTCTGCAGTTGTGCTCAGTGTGCTGCAGTGAGTAGTCACCTTTATTAATTCAGTGTTCAGTAATGTATTTGACTGAAGAGAGTGTTAATCTGTATGCAACAAAGAGCAGACTGAAACAGAATGCTTTAGAGAAGCATTCTGTTTTCTCTCACTTTCTCTTGTCACATCCCCATTCCTAACTATGAGTTGTTTGTAAATCAGATGTTTGTAACTTGGGGACTGCTTGTACATGGAAGCAGGCTGGAGTATAATGCTAATCTGGCTAAAGTAAGGCAGGTTTTGATGTGTTGTGCTATTGTGGTTTTGGTGCAGATTCACTTCAACGGGGCAAGAAGATATCCAGGAAGGTACCGAAAGGCACATCGGCCTACCAGGCTGCCTGGATCCTAGATGACGAGGAATGGCAGAATGGCAGTGAGGAGGAAGAGGAGGAGGAAGAGGATGATGACGATTTAATGGAAGAGGCTTTCTCCCAGGTAATGTATCTTTGGTCATATGTAATTTCTAGGCTTTTTCTGGGTCCTCATGTGCAACTGTATAATATTCTTGGACCAGATGCCCCTTCATTTCGATAGGGTTTACTATCTTCCATGGTTTCACATATCCATGTGAAATGTCTGAACATATCCCCATCGATAGGGGGCTGGTGCTGTATTGCTCTTCCAGTCTCTCCAAATCATTAATTTTTTTTTTCATGCACCAGGATGGGAGCAGCGAGGAGGAGGAAGGTAGTGAGGAAGAAGAATGTGAAACCATGACACTTCCGGAGGCTGAGGAGGAAGAGGAGAAGATGGAGGAAGAGGAGGCGATGCTGGAGAAGTACCGGCAGGAGCGGCAGCAGGAGATGTTCCCCGATGAGGTGGACACTCCTCGGGACGTGGCGGCACGTATCCGGTAAGAGACCCCCACTTTCCTGCAGGAAGGCTAAGAAGAGCGAGTACATTTTAAATTCTGTGTTAATGCTTTTATGTCAAGCCACTTTGAGTCCCCTTTGGGGAGATTATTATTATTATTATTATTATTATTATTATTATTAATAATAATAATAGCCACTCCTCCTGGCACCCACATAGTGATGTTGCCAGACTTTATACTTCTTCCTTCTCACAGGTTACAGCCTAATCCGTATGAGATGGAAAATTTTCTATATAATAACAACAACAACAATCCAGAGCAGAAGGGAAAACTGGCAAAAGAAGGCTCTCCATGGACAGTTCCTGGGAAAATTGAGAGCCAAATTGACAAAGAAAAAACATGACTGTGGCTCACAAATGGAACTCTGAAAAAGGAGACAAAGGAGGGCCTGATTCTGGCAGCCCAAGAACAAGGCATTAGAACAAATGCCATCAAAGCCAGAATTGAAAAATAGACGACAGATCCCAAATGTAGATTCTGCAAGGAAGCAGATGAAACAATAGATCACATCCTCAGCTGCTGTAAGAAGATCGCGTAGACAGACTACAAGCAGAATCATAACACCGTTGCTCAGATGATTCATTGGAACTTGTGCCACAAATACCATCTGCCTGCGACAAAGAACTGGTGGGATCACATGCCGGAAAAAAAAGTTACAGAGAATGAACATGTCAAACTCTTCTGGGACTTCCGAATTCAGACAGAGTTCTAGAGCACAATACTCCTGACCTCACAATTGTGTTAAAAAACAAAGTATGGATTGTCGATGTTGCAATACCAGGTGACAGCAGGATTGAAGAGAAACATCTGGAAAAGCTGGCACGATATGAGGATTTAAAGATTGAACTGCAAAGACCCTGGCACAAGCCAGTCAAGGTGGTCCCAGTAGTGATCGGCACACTGGGTGCAGTGCCTAAAGACCTTGGCCTACACTTAAACTCAATTGGTGCTGACAAAATTACCATCTGCCAGCTGCAGAAGGCCACCTTACTGGCACCTGCACGCATTATCCGCCGATACATCACACAGTCCTAGACACTTGAGAAGTGTCTGATGTCTGATCCAATATAACACCCAGCAGAGTGATACTGTCTGCTGTGGACTCCTCTTGTTGTGTTTTAACTTATGATGATGATGATGATGGTGGTGGTGGTGGTGATGATGGACACAAGCAGAGCTGGAGCATCTGAACAGAAAAACAAGAAAAATGATGACAATCCACTCCTCATGACACCCACGTAGTGATGTCAACAGGCTTGACCTGCCAGAAAATCGGGAAGCAGAAAGAGGGCTTTTGCAAGTGAGACAAAAAGAAGAAGAAGAAGAGGAGGAGGAGGAGGAGGAGGAGGAGGAGGAGGAGAAACATGCACTGGCAGATTATGGGAAAGGTAGTCAAGAGCCAACATTGATGGAAGTCCCTAGGAGAATACTACTCAAAATGAAAAAGACAAAGAGTGAATACCGTAAAAATACAATTCGGAGCAGAAGAGAAAACTGTCAAAAGAAAGCTCTCAATCGACAGTTCCTGGGAAAAATTGAGAGCCAGATGGTCAAGGAAAAAACATGGCCACAAATTGTGCCACAAATACCATCTGCCTGCGACCAAGAATTGGTGGGATCACAAGCCTGAAAAAGTTACGTAAAATGTACACGTCAAACTACTCTGGGATTTCCAAATTCAGACTGCTATACTCTAAAAATGTTGGTAAACTAGCAAATGCGTGCTTGCAGTAGTAATTTCCCTGTAGTTCTTTGCAGTTCAATTTTGCCAAAACAGGCCTAGGTCTTGACACCCAGGTGACGATGGAAGCAAATAGAGACCTTGTGATGCCTTTTTCGATGGCTGTTTGTGGGATTGGGTGAAAGGGAATAGGGAACCCCTTGGCTTTAGGAGTAATATCTTTTTGTCTCGTAGATTCCAAAAGTACAGAGGGCTGAAGAGCTTCCGGACCTCGCCGTGGGACCCCAAAGAGAACCTTCCCATGGACTACGCCCGGATCTTCCAATTCAGAGACTTCTCTCGATCCAGGAAACACGTCTTCCGGCAGATGGAGAAAGAGGAAGGCGAAGGAGCCGAGGTGAGACCTTGCCGTCGTCTCTGTTTGCCTATTTGGCTCAGATATGTTCCCCTTTTGCACCTCCATTGGCAACTCCAGTGTCCTGGTTTTCTAGAACAGTCATAAGCAAACTTTGGCCCTCCTTCCAGGTGTGATGGATAAATATGACATATGGTTTGAATGGAATTGATTGAAAGGAGTGTGAATGGGGCCTAACTGGGCTGGAGACACAACTCTAAAATATTGAGGCCTGGAAAACAACTGTCCTCAGGAATCGTAATTAAAAGTTGCTGTTATTTATTTGTTGTGCCTGAATCAAGTTGAGTGTACATTTAAAATGCAATTAAAAAACACAAAGTTTTTTTTTTTTAAAAAACTTGGCATGACACTAAATGTCCTTTGACCAGAAGTTGGCCACATGGAGTGCCTCTGGTGTGGCTGTGAGAAGGTCCTCCATTGTGTATGTGGCAGGGCTCAGGCCGCATTGTAGTAGGTGGTGTGGGGTTTGCTCTTCTCCGCACTCACATGTTGTTGACTCCATTTTGTGGACTCATTTCTTAAGGTTAGCTCTGCATCTCATGGTTCCAGAGCACAGCCTGTTCAGTGCCTTCCAGGTCACCCAGTCTTCTATGTGCCCAGGAGGGAGTTTCTCATCTGGTATCAGCCACTGATTATGGTTCCAGGTTTTAGCCTGCTACTTTTGGACTCTTGCTTGCTGGGGTACTCCTGTGGGAATCTCTCCGCTTTAGGAAACTTTTCTTTGATTTAAGGCATTAGCGTGCTGGCTGATATCAAAACAGAGAATGGCCTGGAGGTGTCAATGCCTTAGTCTTTTCATTATTGGCTGCCACTTCCCAATGGATGTCAGGTGGTACAATACGAGCTAAACAATATAATTTCTCCAGTGGTTTGGGGCAGAGACAACCTGTGATAATGTGGCATGTCTCATGAAGACATGATGCAGTGAGATGTGTTCCACACTAGGCATGCGTATTCAGCACAGAGTAGCAAAGAGCAAGGGCAGATGTCTTCACTGTGTCTGGTTGTGATCCCCAGGTTGTGCCAGTCTGCTTTCGTACAATGTTATTCCTAGTGCCCACTTTTTGCTTGATATTCAAAGCATTGCTTCTTGTAAGTGAGAGCACGGTCCAGATTTGTTGGTGTGCTGCAAGGCTTCAGTGGGATTCCTTCCCAGGTCATCCTCAGAGCTCGAGATGCTTGTCTGTTCTTAAAATGAAAAGCACTTCTGTGTTTTGGATGGATTATAGTGAAAACCAGGAATCAGCTGGTTTTCACTATAATAAGCAGTAAGAGCACCTAAAGCATTGGAGAGCTTTTGTTCAATCATTTCAAAGCTCTCTGCTTGAGCGGTGATGGCATGATCATCAGTATAGATGAAAGTTGCTGTTGATAACTGTTTTTTATTTTATTTATTTACTTTGTTTTATCTCCTGCCCTCTCTCTCTCTTGTCAAGGGACTCAGAGCTGCTAACATACAGCAACATACGGCAACAATTCAATGCCATTACATATGAATAAAACATTTATTTATTTATTTGTTTATCGTATTTATATACCGCCTTTCTCAGCTCGAAGGCAACTCAAGGCGGTTTACAGTCAGCACAATTCGATGCCCCCAACAACATAAATAACCATTAAAAACAATTAACATATAATATAAACCAGTAAAACATAGGTCATCAGCGTCTCGTTACTAAAAGCATTTTCCAGTCGTTTCATCCCGTCATTCCATGGGTCTAAATTTGCGAGTTACACTGCATTTGCAAAAGCTTGCTTGAAAAACCAGGTTTTGGCTTGTTTTCAAAATGTTTGGAGTGAGGGGGCTGATCTAATGTCCCTAGGAAGGGAGTTCCAGAGCTGAGGGGCCACCACCGAGAAGGCCCTGTCTCTTGTTGCTGCTGTCATCTGCGAAGACCGCGGGATCGAGAGCAGGGTCTCCCTAGAAGATCTTAGAGTCCTAGAAGGTTCATAAGGAGAGATGTGTTCAGACAGGTAAACTGGGCCAGAACCATTTAGGGCTTTATAGGTTAAAGCCAACACAGATCAAAATTTATGCACTAATCTAAGTAAAATAATACAAAATAAAACATGTGATCATGATTAACTGTTGAACTCTTGGTGGGAAACAACATGTTTACATTACCCAAGACAGTGGCTCTTTTAAGTCAGGAGGTTAACACAAACCAACATCATTTAAGGAAAGCCAATTATCACTTAAGGAAGGAAAGTCAACATCTGACTGGAACTGATGGAATCAACATGTTTTAGCTGTCTGTCATTCATTTACAACTTTTGGAGCAACATCAACAGGAAATATTGCTATATAAGAGACCTTATAATATTCCAAAATTGTGGCAGACCGGAGGAGTCTGGTCCACCTACCAAGTTCTTCTCCATGGGAAGGAGAGAGAGTTGGTGTATTTGGGAGAGTGGCAGATTTGGAATGGAATACAGCATCTGTTCACTTGCTTATTTCTTAAGGAAAGAATGCATACTGGAAGTTCTGGAATATTGGAAATTTGGCCTAAATGCAGGTGCTCTTCTCCAGGAGACGGAGGAAGAATGGTGATGTATGCTTGTGAAGGGTGAATGTGTATATCTAGGGTGAATGCTGAGCAGATGTGGTAAAATCCCCTTTGTTAGCCAACATAACTGTAATTTGTTTTTGCATCCAATGTAGTAATATAGAGTCTGTATGTCTAATGTAGTTATTTATTTATTTATTTACAGTATTTATATTCCGCCCTTCTCACTCCACAGGGGACTCAGGGCCGATTACGATTTACATATACATGGCAAACATTCAATGCCAAAGACACACAACATATATAGACAGACACTCAGAGGCTATTTAACATTCCAGCTTCTGGCCACCAGGGGAGCTGTCGCTTCACCATCCATTTGTGACACTGATGAAGTACTTTCCTCATTCTTTGCATACTTCCTGGAGATTTTTATGGCCTTGTAAATCAGTTAAATTAGCCTCCCACCATAAGTGGTACCTAAATTTCCTACTTGACAGATGTAACTGTTTTTCGGGCTGCAAAGGTCGACAACAAGCTACACAATTTTGGTCAGAAACTCACTCTGACCTGGGCTGGCTTCAAACTCATGACCTTTCGGTCAGTAGTGATCTTAATGTAGCTGACTCCCAGCCAGCTGCGCCACAATTTGTGTAAACACTGTTCTGATATACCCTCTCACACTGAAATTGTAATAAAAAGAACCTTTGTTCAAAATTAATCATGACACAGGTGTTTTGGACTTAGGAATTATGGGAATTAGAGTCCAAAACACCTGGAGGACCCAAGTTTGCCTATTTTAATGAAGAAACGGGTTGCCAGAAATGATAAACAGGCTTCAAATACTGGAAGGTGAATTGGAAATTGACTTTCTGGTCTCTTCCAGATTGTGCAGAAAATGTATTACCTTGTTTCCCAAAAAATAAGACAGTGTCTTATATTAATTTTTGCTCCCAAAGATGTGCTAGGTCTTATTTTCTGGAGATGTCTTACCATAGTTGTCAGTATGTAATAAATATGCTGGCACTCGCACACTGGGCGATAAGGGCCGCAAAGCCCCTGGCTCCCACACTTCCTGGAGACTGTAAGGATCTCCTTCACCAGTTCCTGTACAGCAGGGACAGTAATGCAGCTTCTGGCCAGCAGGGGGAACATGCTGCCAAACAAAAATTTTGCTAGGTCTTACTTTCGGGAGGAGGCCTTATATTTGGCAGTTCAGCAAAAGCGCTAATAGGTCTTATTTTCAGGGGATGTCTTATTTTCAGGGAAACAGGGTAGTATATTCTAGTGGGCCACTATTAGTAACCTCAGGCAACCCAAAGAGAGACACATACAGAAGGCTGGGTGGGTTATGCAGCAGAACTGAAGCCATCCTTTGCATGCAAACATGGGTTCTGTTACATGATAGTGTTCTTTGCTCATGTCTTCCTTGGTATTATATGTGTCCAAATTTTCTTATAGCATGTGACACCTAGTGGCAAGGTCTCCTTGCTCATTTCTTCCATCATTCTGACTTTCCTCAGGTCGGGTGGTATGTCACTCTCCACATTTGCAACGTGCCCCTCGCTGTCATGGAGAACTTCCAACAAGGGAGTCCCTTAGTGCTCTTTGCGTTGCTTCCCTATGAGCAGAAGGTGAGTCTGAGGGGCTCTCTCTCTATATATATATATCTGTATAAATAAAAATCTAATGTTCCTTTGTGGGATTAACATAACTCAAAAACCACTGCATGAATTGACAACAAATTTGGACACAATACATCTACCAGACAAACGAGTGACCATCACTCATAAAAACACTGAAAAACACAGCGGAAGAGACTTAAAAAGCAAAAAAAAAAAATTACAATGCATGCACAAAACCACATATATACAAATATACACATATATACACAGACTGGGCCACAGCAACGTGTGGCAGGGGACGACTAGTATATAAATAAAAATGTAGTATTAGTTTGTGGGATTAACAGAACTCAAAAACCACTGGATGAATTGACACCAAATTTGGACACAAGACACCTAACAACCCAATGTATGTCCTTCACTCAAAAAAAAAAATTTTGTCATTTGGGAGTTGTAGTTGCTGGGATTTATAGTTCACCTACAATCAAAGAGCATTCTGAACCCCACCAACGATGGAATTGAACCAACTTGGCACACAGTTCTCCCATGACCAACAGAAAATACTGGAAGGGTTTGGTGGGCAGTGTCCTTTGGTGTTGGAGTTGTAGTTCACCTACATCCAGAGATCACTGTGGACTCAAACAATGATGGATCTGGACCAAACTCTACACGAATACTCAATATGCCCAAATGTGAACACTGGTGGAGTTTGGGGAAAATAGAATCTTGACATTTGGGAGTTGTAGTTGCTGGGATTTATAGTTCACCTACAATCACAGAGCATTCTGAACCCCACCAACGATAGAATTGGACCAAACCTCCCACACAGAACCCCCATGTGGGCCACAGCAACGCGTGGCAGGGGACAGCTAGTATGTATACACACACACACACACATATAGTGTTATAGGATCTTCACTTTCAGTTGCTTGGGAATGAACACTGGAATTACAAACAGCTTCTTTGGCCTGTAGTTCTCTCTGATCACTGGTCAACTCTTCACTTTGAAACCCATCCATGCTCTCATCCTCTGAAAGATCAGGAAAATCCCCTGCTGCTTGCTGAGCCACAACATATGTATGCTTTTGAAAGCGCCCTTGGCAGAAGCCCTCTTGGGCCTGGAAGCCAGTGACTGTTGTTTTCCACCATGGTATTGGAACTTTTTAGTGTCCGTGGATGACTCTTTGGAAGTTGGGGTGGAGGGAGTGCCATTGTGGGCTCCCAAATGCTCCTGACCCTCACACTTTTCTTTTTGTGGCCTGCAGATGTCTGTGTTGAACCTCTTAGTGAGGCGTCATCCTGGCTACAGCGAACCCATCCGCTCGAAGGAGGAAGTGATCATCCACTGTGGGTTCCGGCGCTTCCGAGCTTCGCCGCTCTACTCGCAGCACAGCACAGGTGGGAGAGATGGGCTTTATTGAGCTAAAATAGGCACGGGCCAACTTGGGCCCTCCTTCCAGGTGTTTTGGACTTCAACTCCCACAATTCCTAACACCTGGAAGGAGGGCCCAAGTTGGCCCATGACTGATCTCAATAATACATCACAAACAATCGAGGACAATCTCAGCTTTTCTCATATGCTGTGCCCAGGTTGGTTCCTCAGGTGCTCCGCTATGGCTGACTTCTCTGGTTGCAACATTCATAAGTACCTCAAGCAGACAAGAGTTCTTTCTCCCACCCTGGACATCATTCCACAGGGATATATATAAACCCCACTTACCTAGTTTCCAGTAGACCTCAGAACCTCTGAGGATGCCTGCCATAGATGTGGGTGAAATGTCAGAAAAGAATGCTTCGGGAACATGGTCAGACAGCCCAGAAAGCTCACAACCCAGTAACTCCCACCATGAAAGCTTTCAACAAGGTCAATGAATCAACAGAGGTTGATTTCGTTCCCTGCATTTTTCTTGAAGCTGTCGTGCAGTGAAGATCATGTCCATGGTTCCTCTGGAGGGGCGGAAGTCATTCTGGGATTCTGGGAGAGTGTCTTCTGAGAGGGGTAGAAGGTGGTTTACAAGGATTCTTGCAAGGATTTTCTCAGCAGAGGTTAGAAGAGAGATACCTCGATAGTTTCCGCAGTCTGTTCTTTCCCCCTTTTTGAAGAGGGTGATGATGGTGGCATCCTTGAAATCTGCAGGGATTTTCTCGGTCACCTACACTTTTTCAATGAGCTGGTGGAGTTGTTGTGTCAGCTCAGGTCCTCCCTCTTTAAAGATTTCAGCAGGGATCCCATCAGGTCCGCTGGCTTTGTTATTTTTTTTTGTTGTTGGCTGATGGCATTGCTGACTTCTTCCAAATTAGGCAGTACTGCAAGCTCATCCCTGGTTTGTTGTTGCGAGATTTGTGAGAGAACCTCTTCGGCCACATGGGAGCTGCGGTTCAGGAGGCTTTGGTAGTGTTCTTCCAATGTAGTGCAATTGATTTTTGGTCCTTCAGGAGTTTGGTTCCATCTGATGAGCATAGAGGCTGTATGCCATGGTTTCTTGGTCCATAGATGACCTTTGTGGCTTTGAAAAATCCCTGAGCATCATGTTTTTTACCAGTGCAACTATGATCAATCAACGACTTCATCTTTGTAATATTTTACTCTGGTTCACCTTTCAAGAGCTCTGACTGAAATTCACTTGGCCTTTGTTTCCAGTAAACTTATTTGGTTGGCTTTAATCCTGTCTCAAGAGTCTTATTTTAAAGAAATAAAGTACATCAGAGGGTATACCGATAGCCACTGGGGAATAGCCAGACATATAGTTGTCCTTCAGCCCCCATTGTGCCATCACATGGCCCTTGGGGGTTCCTTCAGATTCTATGATTCCATGAAAACAATGTGACTCTAAAAGCAGGCTCTTCTCTCCGTCAGGAGACAAACACAAGCTGGAGCAGTTCCTTCCCTCTGATGCCGCCATAGTGGCCACCATCTATGGACCCATCACTTTTCCTCCAGCTTCTGTGTTGCTGTTCAGACAAGAGAAGGAAGGTGAGTTTGGGCTTGTTTTCTGTTCCAGGCTCTGGGTTGTGAGAATTCAAAGGCCTAGTTGTCCATAGGTTGTGTGGCTGTGGATTTTAAGTGTAAGTACAGTCAATCCCAGAGTTACAGACATCCAAGTTACAATGACTCCTCGCTAAGAACAGGACTGAGATGACAGGAAGTGAGAGAAACGTACCTTTAATGGAAATTCACTCCTGGAAGAGTCATTATCACTCGTCTGTTTCAAGGATTTCTGTGTCCTCCGCCATCTGGCTCCCTCCTGTACATCGTGTCTCATTCTCCTACTGACCTCAGGTGTTTTCCGAGAGGATCTCCACCTCCTCCTTGCTCTGAAGCCGTTTCTTTCTTACCAGACACTGACGCATCCTCCCAGACAGAATCATGATTCAAACTCCTCTCATTTCCCACACTGGAAAGCCCATCATTCCTCATAACCTCTGATTGAACCATCCCTTCATCTTCAGCCTTTGAGTGAACCACAACACTTTCATGGAGTACTCTTGGGTTGGAAATGCTTCATTTGAGCAGAATTTGCTATTAAACTATGTCACAACATTTGGAAAATGTTCTGTTCCTGCTTTGAAAGGGTTATTTCCCATTTAATGGTGCGGACTTTCCTCTGAAAGGAGTTGTACTCCAGAAACTTCGTTTATGTGTCACAAATTATGTTGAATGCGTTGAGACTCAATGATGAACTATCCATTGGGAAACTATTGCAAAATGTGTTGCAAGATTTCCCTCCTGCAGAAACAAAATTTATGCAGTTTAATAAAATAAAATAAAAATGTGTTTTTGATAGAATCAATTAGAAATGTCATTTATAACCCAGGAACAAAGATCATGGTTCATAGTGTTATCTCTGGTTTCACATCTCCCTATCAGACCTGGGAATGGGTTCCCTATGGACACAAGGGCCACACGGTTACAGAGGTTTGTGGTTAGCATTGGTCTTGACACAGCAGTGTTTCCTCTTTAGGGGCCCACAGCCTCCTGGCCATCGGCTCCCTGCTCAGCGTTGACCCCGACCGGCTGGTCATCAAGCGGATCGTCCTCAGTGGCCACCCGTTCAAGATCCACCGCAAAATGGCCGTCGTGCGCTACATGTTCTTCAACAGAGGTAGCCTTTGTGTTGCAGAAAACCCTTGACCCCACCGAATCCAGTACAGGCTGTCCCTAGGTTACAAACATCCGACTTACAGATGACTCCTAGTTAAGAATGGGGCTGAGACAACAGGAAGTGAAAGGAATCTACCCTTGGCCTGCTCATTGTGTTTGTATTTTGCATTGTTTTATTGTATTCTTACGTTTTATTTACTTTATTGTGATGTTTGTTTTGTGTTTTTGGTTAGGAAGGGGAATCTATATATCTTGAAGAGTTTATCTATCTATTTTATCTCCTTCTCTGGAGGTCTTTAAACAGAGGATAGATGGCCATCTTTCGGGAGGGTTCAGATGGTATCTTCCTGCTTAGATCAGGGTTGGGCTGGATGGCCCGTGAGGTCTCTTGCAACTCCAGGAATCAATGATCTATGTTTGTCCCCTTACTGTATTTTTCCCCTACCTGTTTGAAGGCCTGTCTCCAGCACTCTGTTTCCAATGATTATCTCCCACACAAATATTTTCCGTTCCATTTCTATCTCATCCTGATTTTTTATCATTTTATCTTGTTCATGTGGCCTGCTCATTGTGTTTGTATTTTCCACTGTTTTATTGTATTCTTATGTTTTATTTACTTTATTGTAATGTTTGTTTTGTGTTTTTGGTTATATTTTGTTGTAATGCACTACTAGGCTTGGCCTCATATAAGCCGCCCCAAGTCCCCTTTGGAGAGATGGTGGCGGGGAATAAATAAAGTGTATTATTATTGACACAAAAGCACAGTATGTCACAGCAAACGAGATCTATATGCTGGATTTCGTATATTAAAACCACAAGTTGAACACTTCCCAAGTGTCTAGGACTGTGTGATGTATTTTCAAATGATGCGCGCAGAAAGTTTTATTATTATTATTATCTATCCTATCCCTTCTCTGGTGGTCTTTAAACAGAGGTTGGATGGCCATCTGTTGGCAGGGTTCAAATGGTGACTTCCTGCCTAGGACAGGGTTGGACTGGATGACTTTTGGAGTCCCTTCTAACTTTTGGATTCCTATAATTCTATGGAAGTAAATGTGTAGGACTGACTGTATTCTGAGCTGTACACCAACAGTGGGAAATGGGGAATCCGATGCCCAAGTAGACAACTCCTATTTATTCTTGTCTTGCAGAGGACGTGACATGGTTCAAGCCGGTGGAGCTGCGCACCAAGTGGGGGAGGCGGGGGCACATCAAGGAGCCTCTGGGTAAGTGGGGCAGGCCTGGGGGCAGGTTGGGGGCGGGGTCTTTGATGTATACCAGACATGAGCCCTCCCTCCAGGTATTTTGGACTTCAACTCCCACAATTCCCAACAGCCAGTTTCACTCACATATATTCAACATTCATTCTCACCATCCTTCTTCATTCAGTTGATTGATCTTCTTGGAAGGAGGTAGATGTTCAAAAGCTGCATTCTTTGCAGATCTGGCACGCAGATTAAAGAAAAGAGTGTCTCCTTATGTAACGATGTTTGGTTATCCATTACTTGGTTGTTTAGACAGCCTGTCGTTCAGCTCAGGTTTGCTAGAACCTCATCAATCCCAGAACTGCTAAGTCGTTTAACTTCTTTCTTGGACATGATTTTATCTTGACGAACTGGCTTTTATGTATTTTAGTCTATATCTATTTTAATTTATTGTTGATGTACAATATTTTAGATTGTATTTTTAACATTGAATCCTTGCTGTTAGCTGGTCTGAGTCCCTCTACGGAGGTAGAGAAGATCGGGATACAAAAGTTTTAAATAAATAAATAAATAAATAAATAAGGTAACATTGCCTTTGATGATGTAAACAAGTTTTGTTTACACCAAAAGTTCTCAGGTCAGGTCTCTGGATTTCTCATTAGCACTTTTCACGGCGTAGTTCAGGAATTCTTCACCTCCTTTGTCCTCCATAATGCCAGTTTCAGGGTTTTTTGGATGGTGTCTTCAGTCTTTCTAGACCAGGGGTCTAATAGTTTGAGGGTCACAGTTCCTCAGACTATTGGAGGGCCGGATTATAATTTTAAAAAAGCTTGAATGAATTCCTATGCACACTTCACATATCTTATTTGTAATTCAAATACACTTAAAAACAATAGAATAATTAAAAAGGAAGAACAATTTTAACAAATATAAACTTATTAGTATTTCAATGGGAAGTGTGGGCCTGCTTTTGGCTGATGAGATAGGATTGTTGCTGTTGTTGTGTGCTTTCAAGTCGTTTCAGACTTAGGTTGACCCTGGGCGAGAGCCAGGTAAATGACCTTGGAGGGCTGTATCTGACCCCCGGGCCTTAGTTTAAGGATCCCTGTTCTAGACCTTTAGGCCCCGGCCAATCATAGAATTTCATTAATTCATTCCTTTGTCATAAGTGTTTCTCCCTCTCTTCCTGCCAGGGACCCACGGCCACATGAAATGCCAGTTTGATGGACAGCTGAAGTCCCAGGACACTGTCCTCATGACCCTCTACAAGCGGGTCTTCCCCAAATGGACCTACGACCCTTTTGTGCCAGAGCCGTGCCAAAGAAACGCAAGCTCCTCGCCTTGCAAAGAGGAGGAAGACATGGCCTGAGACTTGCCAAGAGCCTTTCTCTCTCGCACGCTGGGCTTGGCTTCTTTGCCGCAAAAAAATCCTTTCCAAGAGATGCCCTTGCCTTTATTTATTGGTGATCCCAACTCCCAAGGAGAAGTTCATCCCAGTAGGGGCTGGTTGCTATGAAAGGAAGGCACCTCCGCATCACCGTGGCATCTTGGATGTGAAGCAACCTGGGTTTGGATTAAAAGGAGCGGTGTATCTCCACTTAATGAAATCCTGAACTCCATCCTTTTCTGGCTTTACAGTGCCTTAAGTCAATAAATGTGGGTTTATTTCATCTACTCGGGCTCTATTTACGAGGTTCAGGGCGATGGTGACCCTCCTGTTTTATCCAAGGCAAGGGGTGCCCTTAAACATTTTTGTTTTTGCACCTTTCGATCCGTTCACACTCTGGATCTTACCAAATGGTCCTGGAAGGTTCATTAAAGAGTATGCAGGAGAAGAGTTCACCACATCAGCTTTTGTTGTCTCGGCCTAATTTTTTGGGGAAAATGTCTTGCCCTAGGGTTTTGTTTGCTGGATGTAGAGAGTTGTATTGGAGTTGAAGGGAGAGAGCAAATCTCAATCTATCCTAAATGGCAGTAGGACGGGGAATGCTTTTGAGTAACTATTGGCATATATGAATATACATTTTCTTTGAGATTCTTTTCTTTCTTTCATTTCTTCCCTTCATATACCTTCCTCTTCTTCCTTCCTTCTTCCTTCTCCCTCCCTTCCCCCTTTTTCTTTCCTTTCCACTTCCCTCCCTTCTTTCTTTTCCTTTCTCCCTTCCTCCCTTTCTTTCTTCCCTCTCCTTCTTCCCTTCCCTTCTTTTTCTTTTCTCTTCCCTCTTCTTTCTTCTACCCCTTCCTCCCTTTCTCTTTCCTTCCCTTTGTTTCTGTACTTCCCTTTCCCGTTTTCCTCCCTCTCTCCCTCTGTTCCTCTTTTCTTTTCTCTTCTTCCCTTCCTCTTCCCTTCTTGCTCTTTTTCTTTCCTCCCATCTTAATTCTTTTCTTTCTCCTTCCTCCTCCCTTCCCCTCTTTTTTCTTCTGTCCCTCCCTTCTCCTTTCCTTTTCCCACCCCTCCCTCCCTCGTCTTATACCTTTCTTCCTTTCCTTTCTCTTCTTTCCTTTTTCTTCCCTTCTTTGTTTCTCTCTCCCATCCTCTCTTTTTCTTTTCTCCACCCCTCCTCCCTTCTCCTTCCTTCCTTCCTTCCTTCCTTTCTCCTTCTTCTTCCCTTCCCTTTTTCTTTTCTCCTTCTCCCTCTCTTCTCTTTTCCCTTTCCCTCTCTTTCATTTTCTTCCCTTCCTTCCCTTTCTCTATCCCTTTCCTTTCTCTTCTTCCCTTCCTCTTCCCTTCTTTCTCACTCTTCTCCTCCCCTTTTCTCCTTCCCTTTTCTTTCTTTTCCTTCTCTCCTTTCCCATTTTCTTCTCCTTCTTCTCCCTTCTTCTTCCTTCCTTCCTTCTTTCTCCTTCTCCCTCTTCCTTTTTTCTCTTCCCTCCCTCCCTTTTCCTTTTCCCTTTTGTTTCTTACCTTTCCTCCTTTCCTTACTCTTCTTTCCCTCCTCTTCCCTTCTTTATTTCTCTCTTCCCCCTTTTCTTTCCTCCACCCCTCCCACACTTCTCCTTCCTTCCTGCCATCCTTTTCCTTTCTTTCTCCTTCTTCCTTTCCCTAGCCTCTTTTTCTTTCTTCTACCCCTTCCTATTTCCTGCTCTCTTTCTTTCTTTCCTTCCCTCCCTCCCTCCCTCCCTCCCTCCCTCCCTCCCTCCCTCCCTCCCTCCCTCGTCTCATACCTTTCCCCCTTTCATTTCTCTTCCTTCTTTCCCTCCTTTTTCTTTCTCCCTTCTCCCTTTCTTAGGTGGCATTCCCCTATTTAAAAGCAATGTTTTTGCTGAATTAGGAGATTAAAACGGCACTGTTTTAGAGTTGGGTGTTCACCTATTTCCAATATATCTGTGATAACAGCATTCACACCAAATATTTGTTCCAATGGGGAATGTGTCCCGATTTAAGTCACAATTTCTGATTGCAATCTCAGTGATTAGAACAAATCTTGCATTTCAAATTCATTTTCAATCCAAAGCAAATTTTATTTTTGGGTAGCAAAATATTACGTATAGACATGGCATTGAAGTCTAAATTGTGCTTGTCCTTTCCCCCATAATTGAACTGGAAGGCAACTGAAATTATTGCAATGTTTAAGGCCATTTTAAAGTGTTTTTTCAAAGCTCCAACACCAAATTCACCTGAGTTACATTTCCATTGTGTTCTAGGAAAGGCACAAAATTGGCATCTACAGTGTGTGCAAATGAGGGTATTTGCAAGCTATGAATCCCAGGACTGAAGCTAAGAAATCCTTTGATTCCTTTATTTTTCACCCCCAATAATGACAGAAAATAATGATGAACAACGTAAATGGGAATTACTTTAGAGGACACCTATTTATCCACTATTAGAAAGAATTTCTACCATTCTATTGTATATATATTGCATACCAAGCTGCCATTCATTCCTTCCACTTGCATTTGCATGATATAGAAATGGCATTATTTGCAAGCATTGCTGCAATAGCCTGAAGCTACTTTACTACCGGTAGCAAAAGAGTTTAGTCGTCCCCTCCGCAAAGGTGGAGCAAAACTTTTCTGTAGTCTCCTGAAGTGTCTCCCTGAAAAAGAAAGAGATGAGCATTATAATTCTAGAGTTGGAAGGGACCCCCAAAGGCCATCCAGTCCAACCTCTTGTTATACAGAAGAATGGACAAAAAAGGCTGAAGAACTCCAACACTTTGTAGATGCTCAGGGATTTTTTAAAGCCACAAGGGTCATATACAGACCAAGGAATCATGGCATGCACTCTCTACGCCACTGATTCCCAACCTTTTTTTGAACAAGAACCACTTTTACCAGGGACCACTCTCCAACATTAGTACCAAAAAGGGCAGGACTGGTCAACTCTGTGGAAAGTAGCAGAAATAAAATAAATAAAAATAAATAAATAAAGAGGAAGGAGGTTCGCAGACTGGATTTTCATTCTCATTGTCCACTGCTGGGCCACGGGCCACAGGTTGAGAACCACTGCTCTACGCTCATCGGATGGAACCAAACTTCTGAAGGACAAAAAATCAATCTCACTACATTGGAAAGAACACTACCAAAGCCTCCTGAATCACAGCTCCATGGATGGATGGATGGATGGATGGATGGATGGATGGATGGATGGATGGATAGATAGATAGATAGATAGATAGATAGATAGATAGATAGATAGATGATAGATAGATAGCCATCCAGTCCAACCAGCTAAGATATGGATGGCTGGATGGTTAGATAGGCAGAAAGCCATTCAGTTCAACCATCTAAGATAGAAATGGATGGATGAATATATAGATAGCCATCAAGTCCAACTACCTAAGATCGAGATGGATGGATAGATAGATAAATAGATGGCCATCCAGTCCAATCAGCTAAGATAGAGAAGGATAGATGGCTGGATGGTTAGATAGACATCCAGACAGATAGATAGCCATTCAATTCAACCATCTAAGATAGAGATGGATGGATGAATAGACAGATACATAGATAGCCATCCAGTCCAACTATCTAAGATAGATGATAGATAGATAACCATCCAGTCCAACCAGCTAAGATAGAGATGAATGAATAGGCAGACAGACAGATAGATAGCTGGCCATCCAGTCCAACAACCTAAGATACAATATGGATGGATAGTTAGATGGACAGATAGTCATCCAGTCTAACCCCCTAAGATAGAGATAGATAAGATAGATATGGATGGTCGGACAGATAGATAGAAAGATAATAGAATCATAACACTGGACCCCAAGGGCCATCCAGCCCGACTTCCTTCTGCCAGGTAGGAAGACATCATCAAAGCCCTTCTGACAGATGGCCGTCCGGGTGCTGCTTCAAAACCTCCCGTGCAGTGACCCCAATGGACTCCCAGGTAGGAGCGCATTCCCCTGCTTAACAGCTCTTCTCCTTAGGAAGTCCTTCCCAACCTTTAAGTGGAACCTCTTTCCCTGCAACTTGCACCCTTGGCTCCCTTGTGCCCCAGTCCCATTTTGCTTCCAAAAATAAAGCCAAGTTTGATTTGGGGAAGCACGAAATGAGGGGGAATGAAAAAGAAGAAGAGCAACTGACCTTGATAAAGGAGTAGAGGGACTTCCCGTACATCCGCTTGAAGTCCGCCTTGATGTCGATCATGTCGATCTCGCAGCGGGACACCATCAGGCGGATGAGCGTGTCGTCGTCTGTCCCTATGCCCTGTGTGGAGAGGAGGGTAGGGGCTGTAATTTGCCTCTTTGGCAGGGAAGGCCTGAGATCTTGGGAAACTATAACTCCCAGGGTCCCATAGCATTGAGCTGTGGGAGGGAGGTTGGGAGCTCTAGTCCGCTGAGACCTTGGAAACTACAACTCCCAGGATCCCATTGCATTGAGCCACATAGAGGAGGTAGTTTGCCCTGGGGTCAGAGACCTTGAGAATCTGCAACTCCCAGGATCGTGTAGCATTGAGCCATGGAGGAGATGTTGGAAGCTATAGTTTGCCAAGACCTTGGGAAAACTACAACTCCATAGCAATTGAACCATGGAGTGGCGGTTGGGAGCTGTAGTTTGCCCAGGGCCCAAGCCTCTTTGGCAGAGGAGGTCCAAGAACTTGGGAAACTACAACTGCCATAGCATTGAACGGTGGAGGGCTTGGGAGTTAAAGTTTGCCGAAGGGTCCAAGACCTTGAGAAACTATAACTCCCAAGGATCCCATTGCATTCAGCCATGGAGAGGAGGTTGGTAGCTGTAGTTTACCAGGGCCCAAGCCTCTTTGGCAGAGAAGGCCCAAGACTTTGGGAAACTACAACTCCCGGGATCCCTTTGCATGGAGCCACAGAGAGGAGGTTGGGAGCTGTAGTTTGCTCCAGGGCCAGAGACCTTGGGAAATTACAACTCCCAGGATCCCATAGCATTGAGCCACGGAGAGGAGGTTGGGAGATGTAGTTTGCCCAGGGGCCAAAGACCTTGGGAAACTATAACTCTCAAGGATCCCATTGCGTTGAGCCAAGGCATGGAAGGTCCAAGACTTTGGGAAACTACAACTCCCAGCATCCCATAGCATTGAACCATTGCAGTTCAATGCAGTTTGAGTCACATATTAGGGCCGCTTCAAAATAGCATTCCTTTACATTTTATATTTTTTAAAAGGATCATTATTTACACATTATTATTATTTTGACTCATTTACCTTCATTGATTTGTAGAGCCTTTCGGCAAAGTAGGCGGTCCTGCTCCGCATGCATTTGACTGCAGAAAGAAAAGAAAGCCGAGTTAGCAAAGGGAAAGGATGGGTGCATCCACACTGTGGAATTAACCCAGTTTGTCACCCCTTCACTGCCATTGCTCAATGCTATGGGACCCTGGGAGTTATAGAATTTGTTCACATTGAACCATAGCAGTTGGTGTCAAACTGGGTTAATTCCACAGTGTGGACGGACGCACCCGAAGAAATTTGCATAAATAAATATCGGACTTGCCTATGGCCAACAAGGCATCCTCAAGGTCTCCCGACATCTCGGACTTGATGCTCTCCGTAATGTCCTTATCGGCAATCTTCCTGTATTCGTCAAACACTGGGGAAGGAGAAAGCAAGGCATTGGGGAGCGGCTTTTACACTGGGAGTTTCACAAAATACAAAAGGAGGTTAAAAATAGGTTTTTTGCCAGGAAGAAGCAGGCCGCCTGTACTTTTCATAGATGTGCATTGCAAAAGGGATGGGAATGCAAAAGAAGCGGAAGAAACATGTCAACAGAAACTGAGCTGATTTGCCTTCAAATCCAGTTGTGCAAATGAATGGGATGCAGAATGACCTATATGGATACATCTACACGGTCCCTTGGGCTCATTTCTCAGGCCCTCCTCTCTCTCACCATCCTATCCTTCATTCCTTCTCTCCTTCCCTCCCTCCCTTCACCTCCCTCTTTCTCCCTCCTCCTTGCTTCCCTTACACCCTTTCGTCCTTTCTTCCCTTTTTCCTCCCTCCTTCCCTCTCTCCCTCTTTCTCCCTTCCTTCCTTCTCTCTTTCCTCCCTCCCTCCCTTATCTCCCTCCCTCTTCTCCATCCCTCCATTCCCTTCTACCCTTTTGTTCTTCCTTCCTTCTCCCTTTCCTTTCCTTCTTCCATCCCTTCCTTCCTTCCACTTTTGTCCTTCCTTCCCTTTTGTCTTTTCTTCTTCTTTCTTCTTTCCTTCCTCCTTACCTCCTTCCTTTCCTCCTTCCTTCTCTCCCCCTTCTCCTTCCTTCCTTCCTTTTTTCCTCCTCCTTCCCTCTTTCTCCTTCCTTCTCTCTTTCCTCCCTCCCCTCCCTCCTTTCTCCCTCCCTCTTCTTCTCCTCCCTCCTACCCTTCTTTCTTTCTTCCTTCTTCCCTTCCTTCCTTTCCTTCCTTCCTTCCATTTTTCCTTCCCCCTTTTGTCTTTCCTTTCTTTCTCTTTCCTTCCTCCTTACCTCTCTTCCTCTTTCTCCTTCCATCCTTCTCTTCCACCCTTTCATCCCTTTCCTTCCCTGTTTCCTCCCTCTCTCCTCTTCTTCTCCTTCCCTTCCACTCTTCTCTCTCTTCCTTCCTTCTCTCCTTTCTCCCTCTCTTCTTCCTTCCTCCCTCTTTCTCCCTCCCTCCTTCCCTTCACTCTTTGTCCTTCCCTCTTTCCTCCCTCCTTCCCTCTTTCTTCTCTCCCTTCCTTCCTTCCTCTTTCCTTCCTCCTTCCTTTCTCCCTCTTTCCTCCTCCTTCCCTTTCCTCTTTTTTCTTTCTTCCTCCCCTTCCTTCCCTTCCTTCCATCTTTCCCTTCCTCCTTCCTTTCTTCATCCTTCCTTTCTCTTCCTTCTTTTGTCCTTCCTTCTTTCTCTCTTCCTTCCTCCCCTCCCTTCCTCTTTCTCCTTTCATCCTTCCCTTCCACCCTTTCATCCTTCTTTCCTTCACTGTTTCCTCCCTCTCTCCCTCTTTTTCTTTCTATCCTTCCCTTCCTCCCTTCCATTCTTCCTTCTCTCTTTCCTTCCTTCTCTCTTCCTCCTCCCTCCCCTCCTTTCTCCTTCTTCCTCCCTCCCTTTCTTCTTTCCTTCCCTCTCTTTCCTTCCTCTTCCCCCTCCCTCTTTCTCCTTTCCTTCTCCTTTCTCTTCCCCCTCCTTCTCCTTCTTTCCTTCCCTTCCCTTCCTTCTTCTCCCTTTCCTTCCCTTCTTCCATCCTTCTCTTCCTCCCTTTCCTCTCCCTTCCCTCCTTCCCTCTCTCCCTCTTTCTCCCTCCCTTCTTGCTTCTCTTACACCCTTTTGTCCTTCCTTCCTTTCCTCTTTCCTCCCTCCTTCCTTCTCTCCCTCTTTCTCCCTCCCTTCTTGCTTCTCTTACACCCTTTTGTCCTTCCTTCCTTTCCTCTTTCCTCCCTCCTTCCTTCTCTCCCTCTTTCTCCCTCCCTTCTTGCTTCTCTTACACCCTTTTGTCCTTCCTTCCTTTCCTCTTTCCTCCCTCCTTCCCTCTCTCCCTCTTTCTCCCTCCCTTCTTGCTTCTCTTACACCCTTTTGTCCTTCCTTCCTTTCCTCTTTCCTCCCTCCTTCCCTCTCTCCCTCTTTCTCCCTCCCTTCTTCTTCCTTCTTTCTCCTCCCTTCCCTCTTTCTCCTTCCTTCACTCTCTCCTCTTTCTCCCTTCCTTTCTCCTCCCTCTTCTCCTCTCTCATTTCCTTCCACCCTTTTGTTCTTCCTTCCTTCTCACTTTCCTTCCATTCCTTCCTTCCATCCTTCTCTTCCTCCTTCCCTTCCTTCCTTCCATCCTTTTGTCCTTCCTTCTTTCTCTTTCCTTCCTCCTTACTTCCCTCTTTCTCCTTCCACCCTTTCATCTATCCTTCCATGTTTCCTCCCTCGTTCTCCTTCTATCCTTCCCTTCCTCCCTTCCACTCTTCCTTCCTTCTCTCTTTCCTTCTTCCTTCCCTTCTTTCCTTCCACCACCGGGCAGCCAGTCCTCTTAACAGGGAGTGCTAGCATGCAGCCCCCAAATTAGAAAGTTTGCCCATGCCTCATCTACAGTGTACAATTAATGCAGTTTGATACCATTTTAGTGCTATGAAGTCCCAGGACTTGATGTTTGGCACTCTTTCGCAGAGAAAGCTAAAGGCTTTGTCAAACTATAACTCCCAATATGCCAGGATCACCATATCAACTTGGCTGCTTCAGTTCCCTTCCATAAAGAAGGGAAGTGGGGAGAAGGAGGCTGGGTACAGCTGAGGAAGGAAGTGTAGATGGGACATCTACTTTGTGAGGGAAATAGAAACTGCGTTTAACAGACGGTGGGCACAGAGTTTGGCCACTAGGAGGCAGATGGGAGTTGGGGCTGATAGATACAGCAGGTTGGAGTGGGGAAGCTTTAGAACTGTCTTTTTAGGATTGTGGAAAGAAAGCATAAACCACATGTCTCCAGCGCTCTATTGTTGTGAGCTTGATTTTAACTCCAAGATCTTCCAGAGTCTGACACAGTATACCATTGCATTCAGCCATGGAAGGCACAGGGGTGTTGAACTGGATTAATTCTACAGTGTAGTTGCACTCTTGGTAGGGATCCTAGAGTTGGAAGGGACCCCCAAAGGCCATCCAGTCCAACCCCCTTCTGCTATTATGTAGGAAAAACATAATCCATGCCTTTGCTTAATAATAATAATAATAATAATAATGAACTGAAGAATTCCAGGACTGGAAGGGACCCCCAAAGGCCATCCAGTCCAACCTCTTTCTGCTATTATGCAGGAAAAGCATAATCCACACCTTTGTTTAATAATAATAATAATAATAATAATAGAACTGAAGAATCCCAGGACTGGAAGGGACCCCCAAAGGCCATCTAGTCCAACCTCTTTCTGCTATTATGCAGGAAAAGCATAATCCACACCTTTGTTTAATAATAATAATAATAATAATAATAGAACTGAAGAATTCCAGGACTGGAAGGGACCCCCAAAGGCCATCTAGTCCAACCCCCTTCTGCTATTATGCAGGAAAAGCATAATCCATGCCTTTGCTTAATAATAATAATAATAATAATAATAATAATAATAATAATGGAACTGAAGAATTCCAGGACTGGAAGGGACCCCCAAAGGCCATCCAGTCCAACCTCTTTCTGCTATTATGCAGGAAAAGCATAATCCACACCTTTGTTTAATAATAATACTAATAATAATAATAATAGAACTGAAGAATCCCAGGACTGGAAGGGACCCCCAAAGGCCATCTAGTCCAACCTCTTTCTGCTATTATGCAGGAAAAGCATAATCCACACCTTTGTTTAATAATAATAATAATAATAATAATAATAGAACTGAAGAATCCCAGGACTGGAAGGGACCCCCAAAGGCCATCTAGTCCAACCTCTTTCTGCTATTATGCAGGAAAAGCATAATCCACACCTTTGTTTAATTAATAATAATAATAATAATAATAATAATAATGGAACTGAAGAATTCCAGGACTGGAAGGGACCCCCAAAGGCCATCCAGTCCAACCTCTTTCTGCTATTATGCAGGAAAAGCATAATCCACACCTTTGTTTAATAATAATACTAATAATAATAATAGAACTGAAGAATCCCAGGACTGGAAGGGACCCCCAAAGGCCATCCAGTCCAACCTCTTTCTGCTATTATGCAGGAAAAGGATAATCCACACCATTGTTTAATAATAATAATAATAATAATAATAATAGAACTGAAGAATCCCAGGACTGGAAGGGACCCCCAAAGGCCATCCAGTCCAACCCCCTTCTGCTATTATGCAGGAAAAGCATAATCCACAACTTTGCTTAATAATAATAATAATAATAATAATAATAATAGAACTGAAGAATCCCAGGATTGGAAGGGACCTCCAAAGGCCATCTAGTCCAACCTCTTTCTATCCTGCAAGAAAAGCACAATAAAAGCCACACCGACAGCCTCGGCTTAATAATAATAATAATAATAATAATATAATGATTGTCAGAATCTGGAAGCTCTTGGAACAAAAGCATGCTCACAAAGCACAATCTTTGGATACAGCTTTTTTTCTATCTTATCACAGCCGTAAGAAAGACAGTTCTAAGGGTTTCCTGCCAACCCCATGTATATCATTCCCCAATCCCACGCCCTTCTACTGTTTTGTTATCTCATAAGACCAGATGACCTTATCTATAGTGTGCTCCTATCCATCTCAACCTCCCCTTTCTTCATATCATGGGGGCGGGGGGGGGGGGGGCAGCTAGTTCCAAGCTGGTAGGACATCCTGACAAATGATAATGATAACAATAATAATAGAACTATAGAATCCCGGGGCTGGAAAGGACCCCCAAAGGCCATCTAGTCCAACCCCCTTCTTCCATTATGCAGGAAAAGCACAATCAAATATTATAATAATAATGATAATAATAGAATGATAGAATCCCAGGGCTGGAAGGGACCCCCTAAGGCCATCCGGTCCAACCCCCTTCTGGCATTATGTAGAAAAAGCACCATCAAAGCCCTCCTGACAGATGGCTAGGGGGTTGGGGCCTTACCTCTTAGCAGGTGGTTCCGATTCCTTGTGCAGAGGACCGTCATGAATTGGGCCTCATCTGTCCCCCATCGTTTCTCCCCTGCTTCGTAAAGGCACTAAGAATAAGAATAAAGAGCAGCATACTTTTTTGGAAACATATCCTTCATTTTGACCCATCGGTCAAAACAGTGCAGAGAAGAGAAAGAGCTTACTTTCACAGAGAAGTCAAAGGAAATTGATAACATCAACTCTGTGGATCTTGATGGAACTGCAACTCCCATCAAGCCTAGGCTAAGAATGCTGGGAGCTGTAGTTCCCAAATACCTAGGGGACCACTTCTGGGAAGGCTCAATTTTGCATTTAGGTTGCAAGAGATGTCAGCTTGACATTCTTTGAACCATCAACATTAAATGCAAAGGAACTACTTCATGAAATTGTGCACATGGCATCCTTTTCATTTCTTCACACAGAAAACAAATAAATCTAAACAAGTGTTTACAAAAATCACTCTGCTTTTTATATATTTGAAGACCACATAAAATGAAGAAAAAGTCTGTGAGATTAAACATATTATCAAAGTTCATTTGAAACATTACATATTACTCACTATTAAATGCTCACCTTAACTTCTAAATTCAAAACGGGTGGACAAGAAAATAACACTAATAGTTATCTAGTTCAGAAGTACAAAACACTGAGGGCCATAGAAACCCGTGTTTCACTTCTTTCGTTTTTCAATTAACCATCAAAAATAAAAAGATGCAAATATGTTATTTAATTTTGAATCACAAATGAAAAAGGCCGCCTTTTTCCTTATTTCAAATTTTAGACGGATCAAAAATGCGAAATGGAGAAACAGGCTCCTGTTGGACCGAAATCGATTTTGAATTTTAATTTGTCGGGTTGACGAGACAAGACTGGTTTGATTGTCAATTGGGAAACAAAAGAACAACAATACATGGTTTGGAAAGACACCATGCATATTTAAAACTGCGGTTTTAATCATCTTCTGGTAAAATATGAAATATCTTTTTTGTATGCGTGTCATAATCTCGCAAGCATCAGGGGATTTTTCTGAATGTTCAGAGGTTGAGGGGAATGATGGGTTTCAAAGTGAGGAATCTGTGAGTGATCGAAGAGAATTGCAGGCAGACGAGGCTAGTGTTTTGGAATCTTTTGCTCATCCCTAGGCAACGGGAAAGTTCCAGTTCCCTTGAGAAAAAGTCTTGGAAGGATGGGGAGTTTTCCAGGGAGAACAGATTAGACCTGAGAACGCAGGGAGTGAAAAACCAGCAAACTAGATATTCTCAGACGATAAGACACTAAAGTCCAGATGTGTTAGACATGATGTCATGGGTGTCTCAGAGGGCTTAAATTAAGTAGTTTCAGGCCTTCCAGAGGAGACAATGCTACTGTAGGAGAACAGTTTCGTGTTTGTTATTCCTATTCATGCTTCCTCTGTTGTCAAGATTCCTGTTTCATCTTCCTGTCTTATGCCTATTTATTTATTTGCTTTACATCTATAACACCTTTCTCAGCCAAAAAGGCGACTCAAGGCGGTTTACATAGTAAAGGTTAACCCAACAATATCAAAAAGCAGTTAAAACACATTATACAAGACATATCAAATCAAGCAATCATTAACATAGACGTGTGCCTATGCTTCTTTCAAGAATTTCCCTCTGCTAAGTTCCTGTTTTCATGTTCGTGGATATACCTTTGGATTAATTCTGTGCTTTGGGGTTTCCTTGGCTTTATCTTCTATCCTAGCATTTTCGGATTACTGCTATCGAACTCTAGTTTCTTTTGAGAACTGCATTTTATATCTGTACCGACTTTGGCGGATTTGTCCCTTTTCCCCTTTTTATATTCTTTCCTTTATATTGGATCACTGGACTCTGGTGTGGTGTTGGGTGAAAGGGTGTTCTTGTGCTAGGGTGCAACCACGTGTATTTTATACTGTGGGCAACAGTGCTGTCGGGATGCATATTGTTGATTTTATAATAGAGGCTGCGGGCCAGTGGAAAATTTAACATGGGCCGCAATTGGCCTGCGGGCCGGACTTTGCACACACCTGATCTATGCTGTAGAATTAATGGAGGACTCAAGGACTCAATACTATATAATCCTGGGAGTTGTAGTTTGACAATGTCTGCCGAAGAGGGCCGGTGCCTCACCAAACTACAAATCCCAGGATCTCACAGCATGGAGCCATGACAGCTAAAGCAGTGTCAAACCGTATTACCTGATTCATAGAATCATAGAGTTGGAAGAGACCTTATGGGCCATCCAGTCCAACCCCCTGCCAAGAAGCAAGAATATTGCATTCAAAGCACCCCTGACAGATGGCCATCCAACCTCTGTTTAAAAGCTTCCAAAGAAGGAGCCTCCACCACACCCCTGGGCAGAGAGTTCCACTGCTGAATGGCTCTCACAGTCAGGAAGTTCTTCCTAATGTTCAGGTGGAATCTCCTTTCTTGTATTTTGAAGCCATTGTTCCCTTGCGTCCTGGTCTCCAGGGCAGCAGAAAACAAGCTTGCTCCCTCCTCCCTATGACTTCCTCTCACATATTTATACATGGCTTTCATCATGTCTCCTCTCAGCCTTCTCTTCTTCAGGCTAAACATGCCCAGCTCTTTAAGCCGTTCCTCATGGGGCTTGTTCTCCAGACCCTTGATCATTTGAGTCTCCCACCTCTGGACACATTCCAGCTTGTCAATATCTCTCTTCAATTGTGATGCCCAGAATTGGACACAATGTTCCAGGTGTGGTCTAATCAAAGCGGAATAGAGGGGGAGCATTACTTCCCTGGATCTAGACACTATGCTCTTTGAAAGAAGGAGATTGTAATCTATAAGACGTTCCCTAAGTATTTCTTTTTTCCCCTGCATTACTTAGAGGAGAATTTCTGTGCTACAAACCTCAGCATCTTGCTTGGCTTGGGCTTCATCGACATAGTTGCTTTCATCCCGGTTGCCCTGATAAACAGAAAGCAAAGGTTATTAATATTATTATTATTTGTCAGTGTTTTAGATAGATGACTGTATAAATTAGTTTAAAACCCATGCTGCCAACCATGAACTAGTTAAACAGCTGGAATGTGAAGAGACCAGAAAGGGAGACAACATGTCAGAGCAACGGGCTGGGCTTGAATTAATGAGCTGATGAGGAGCAATATATAATGTCAAGGGTCACCATTACTATTTCTCTTTCAACAATCGCCTCTGATGAGTAAGTCTCATTGAGTTGTAAATAGTAGAAATGTAAATAAAGAGTAACACCACTGTTGGAGTTCAGCCTGTGATTGTGATTCAGGATCAGGGTGCTTTGGATGTGGGAAGTGATGCCAATGAATTTCAAGATGGCAATGGTTTGGTCAATGATACTGATGCAGAGAAGGACCAGGAGACCCCTGTGCAAAGTGTAGTTTCTCATGAGAATGTCCCTGAAGGGTGTGGGTATGATAGTGTACTCCCTGAATTGCTACCAGAGGAGCAGGAGCTACCAGAGGGTAGGAGCAGAACAACTCCTTTCAAAGAAAGGACCACACAATTAAACAGGATATAACACTTTCAAAACAGGAACAGATTTTGTGACATGATATAATCACAGCCTTCTTTTCTAAGTGATGACAAACTGCCTCTTTAATGATCTGCTCCAGAATATTTCCTGGGTTTGATGCCAGGCCGAATGAAGGGTCATTAGAAGGGACAGCCTTTTGTATAGGAGTTCCCTTGAGGTCATCTAGCCCACCCCTAGATGATCTGCCTCCATCCACCACAATGCCGTCCTTGTTCCTTTATTCCCAGGCTATCCAGCTGATTAATAAAGGGAATAGCGGAAGCATGGTCTACCAGACGGTCAACATCAACCACCACACCAGTGTGGCCACCTTCAGCATCTACTACTACAACTGGTTGAGAGCATATGACCCTATAATAACCCAATGGAAGGGTGGGATTGCCGGCATTTTGGTGTGACTTACGGTGGCCAGGGACACCAGGACTCTCCGGAACATGGAGGAAGTGTCCGATACGATGTCTTCCTCCAGGGTGGTCCCGTATTCTGCGGGGAAAACGGAATGGCAGCATTACCTACCTGCAAGGTGTTGCAATTACGCACCTTAAAGTCAGCTCCAACTAAAACACCACCCAAACCCAGTGGATCCCAAGGGCCAGCTGTTTCCCCTTATTCAGTAGAAGTCTGAACACAGCCTTCAGTCTCTCTAAGAAGAATAAGAAGGCAATAATAATAATAATAATAATAATAATAATAATAATATATTATATTATAATAATAGTAATATAATAATATAATTATTCATCATCATAAGGGCCGGCTTTAGCACAGCAGGTTAATCACCTGCAGTAAGTCTTGCCAACCAAAAGGTTGACAGTTCGAAGCCGGGTCAGGGTGAGCTGCTGACTTCAGCCCAGTGAACAAAGAAAGCTCTTCAACAAGGAGATGGAGGGACAGCACCCCCCTGTGGTTGGAACCGAGCACAACCTCCAAAGATGCCGAATGATGAGAAAATGCCTATATATACTTCTATCTGTTGTCTCTCTTGTCATTGTGCAATTGGCATTGAATGTTTGCTGTGTATGTGTGTGTTCTGATCCGCCCTGAGTCCCCTTTGGGGTTAGAAGGGCGGAATATAAATACTGTAAATAAATAAATATATTTGCTGTATTTATATCCCACCTTTCTCTACCCCGAAGGGGACTCAAGGCTGCTTTGCAAATGGCAACTATTTGAAGCCTTTAGACAACAGACACCTAAATATATTTAAGTTAAAATTTAAAAATTAGAGTTAAAACGCACATAAAAATATACAAACATTATAATCACTATTAAAATCACGCCATCCACAATTGTAATCCAGAGCCGTTCCAAAAATCATGGCTCATATTTTGTAGTTATTTTTGCTCTGTATCTAATTTCCAAAGGCTTGACCCCAGAGCCAGGCTGTTCTGATTTCATCGGGGAGGGAGTTCCACAGCTTAGGGGCCACCACCGAGAAGGCCCTGTCTCTCGTCCCCACCAATCGTGCTTGAGAAGGAGGAAGGTCAGAGAGATTATTATTATTAGGAATCACTATTACCCCTCTCTATGACTGGACCTTGCAAATAATCCTTCTTCGAACGGCCACCTAGAAAAAACACTTGGATCAGAGCACGGAGCGTCTTTGGACTCACGGTGCTTGTAGGTTTCATTGATCCGCCGGATTTCCTCATTGGTGCGAGATGCCAGGATCTCAATCAGGCAGCCTTCATCTGTCCCGGCCCCCTAAGAAGACAGATCACACTACATTTTACAAATTATAATAAGCCTAACATTAGACTCCATACAACAATAATAAAAAGCCTAATTAATACTAGACTCCATGTGATGATGATGATGATGATAGAGATGCCAAACATTCCACAGTGCAAAAAGGCAACCCAGAGAAGGCAAAAGAAAGCCTTGTGAAACTACAACTCCCAAGACCCTGTAGAAATGAGTATGGCAATTTAAGTGGGAGCAATCTTCATCAGTCCTACTATGTAGATGCCCTATTTATTTATTTATTTATTTATTTGACTTGTATACCGCCACTCCCAATTTGGCTTGGAGCGGTTTACAGCAGTAGATTAAAACAATACAACCAACTTTAAAATACAATAAAAACGAGAACAGACATAGTCCCGAGTTATTCACCCATCGAAAGCTTGTCAGAAAAGAAAGGTTTTACAGGCTTTCCGAAAAGCAAGTAGCTCTCGGATGGTTCAGGTTTCAACTGGCAAGGCATTCCATAAATAAGGGGCCAATCGAGAAGGCTCTCTGCCTAGTAGAGGACAGATGATAAGTCCGGATGTTGGGGACTTCAAGCAAATTTTGGTCTTCGGAACGAAGTAATCTCTGGGGTTGGTAGGGGGATAAGCGGGCCCTCAGGTATGCTGGCCCCAGACCATATAAGGCCTTAAAGGTTAGTACCAGCACCTTGAAAGTAATCCGGTACTCAATCGGAAGCCAGTGCAGCTGTTGTAGAATTGGGGTGATACGACACCTCGCCGGCACCTCGGCGAGAAGACGAGCCGCTGCATTTTGCACCAGCTTCAGTTTCCGGATCACTGACAAAGGAAGGCCAATGTAGAGGGCGTTACAGTAGTCAAGCCTCGAGATGACCGTCGCCTGGATCACCGTAGCCAGGTCGTTCCTAGATAGGAAGGGAGCCAGTCGCCTAGCCTGACGTAGATGGAAAAACGCAGATCTGCTCACAGCAGAGACCTGGGCCTCCATTGTGAGCAGAGGGTCCAATAAGACACCAAGACTCTTTACAGAAGGTGATGGACGTAGTGTCTCACCATCCAGGGTAGGCAGCTGGATCTCCCTCCCACCCGGACGGCCCAGCCAAAGGATCTCCGTCTTCGCTGGGTTCACCCTCAACCTTCTGGCACGCATCCATCCAGTAACAGCTTCAAGGCAATTTTCGGGTACAGAGTCCGGCCGGCCCTCCATCCTCAGAATGAGCTGAGGGTCATCAGCGTACTGGTGGCACTCAAGCCCAAAGCTCCGCACCAGTCGGGCAAGCGGTCGCATATAGATGTTAAATAATAGAGGAGAGAGAATAGCTCCCTGCGGGACCCCGCAAGTTAGCGGAGATCTCTCGGAAACCATCCCTCCCCTCACCACACGCTGTCCCCGATTCTGGAGGAAGGAGGACACCCATTTAAGGGGTATCCCCCTAACCCCAGTCATGGCTAGGCGGTGGGTCAATAGATTGTGATCGACCGTATCAAATGCTGCTGTGAGGTCCAATAACACAAGCAGCGCTGATCCGCCTTGATCCATCTGGCAGCGGAGCTGATCTGTGATGGCAACCAGCACAGTCTCCGTCCCGTGCCCCCTACGGAAGCCGGACTGGAAGGGATCAAGTCTGGCTGTGTTATTTAGGAACTGCTGCAACTGTTCCACTGCTGCCCTCTCAACCACCTTGCCCAGAAACGGAAGGTTCGAGACTGGGCGGTAGACTGTTTTTTTCAGCAGCGGAGATACCATCGCCTCTTTTAAACCCTCTTGAAAAACTCCTTGCTCAAGGGAGCTATTTATTATATTCAACAGAGGTTCATTCAGTCTTTCGGCAACCCTGGAAAGTAGCAGAGAGCAATGGTGGGACTAATGAATTGCTATGGTGGGATAACAGCACGGTGCAATAACACCACAATATTATGAAGGCCGTCCCCAAGTTACGAACAAGAGAGGTTCTGTAGGTTTGTTCTTGAGTTGAATTTGTATGTAAGTCAGAACAGGGACTTTTTTAAAATGTAACTATACTTATTTAGCTCTTCGAGGCGCACTATACTTATTTAGCTTTGGATGGCATAGGGAAGGGTGAACCTTCCTGTGGCACTTCCATTGCTCCTTGTGCCTGTCCTGTTCAGAAAATTTCACCCCACTTTCTGTCCCTCTGAGAACTGGATTTTGCAATATTTGGCTTGTTGTGGAAACAAGGATTGGAAGTAAGGCTTTATTGGAGAACCCTTTCCCCCCTGATAATGACTCTTTCAGGAGTGGATTTCCTTTCCGAGGAGATTTCTCTCACTTCATGTTGTCTCAGCCCCATTGTTCTTAACTAAGAGTTGTTTGCAAGTCAGATGCTTGTAACTTGGGGACGGCCTGTATATTCCAACAGAAATTGCAGTCTCCTGGCATTTTCCAGACCTTCATGGCCCTTTTGAGCTCCTCCACATCATACAAGGTGATGGGCGTCATCAGCGCAAGCAGGACCTTCTCAAACTTCCCGCCCAGCTCCGACTTCAAGTCGTTCATCAGATCCTGTTGGGAAGAAGAAGGAAAGATCAGCTCACCCTGTATTATATTATTATATTTACATTATATTATTTTATTATACACTATATTTATATTATGTATTATATTATATTATTATATAATATATGTATATTATATGATTATATACTCTGCCAATATGATAATAGTAATAACTATTATTATTATTATTATTATTATTATTGCGTTGTTGTAGGTTTTTTGGGCTGTCTGGCCATGTTCTAGAAGCATTCTCTCCTGATGTTTCGCCTGCACTTGTGGCAAGCATCCTCAGAAGTTGTGAGGTTTGTTAGAAACTAGGAAAATTGGGTTTATATATCTCCTTTTCCTATTTTTATTATTATTATTATTATTATTATTATTATTATTATTATTATTGGGTTGTTGTAGGTTTTTTGGGCTGTCTGGCCATGTTCTAAAAGCATTTTCTTCTGATGTTTTGCCTGCATCTGTGGCAAGCATCCTCAGAGGTTGTGAGGTTTCTTGGAAACTAGGAAAATTGGGTTTATATATCTCCTTTTCCTATTATTATTATTATTATTGTTATTATTATTATTGGGCTGCTGTAGGTTTTTCAGGCTGTCTGGCCATGTTCCAGAAGCATTCTCTCCTGATGTTTTGCCTGCACCTGTGGCAAGCATCCTCAGAGGTTGTGAGGTTTCTTAGAAACTATGAAGATTGGGTTTATATATCTCCTTTTCCTATTATTGTTATTATTGTTGTTGTTGTTGTTGTTGTTGTTGTTGTTATTCTTATTATTGGGTTGCTGTAGGTTTTTTGGGCTGTCTGGCCATGTTCTAGAAACATTCTCTCCTGATGTTTCGCCTGCACCTGTGGCAAGCATCATCAGAGGTTGTGAGGTTTGTTAGAAACTACGAAAATTGGGTTTATATATCTCCCTTTCCTATTATTGTTGTTATTATTATTATTATAGGGTTGCTGTAGGTTCTTCGGGCTGTATGGCCATGTTCTAGAAGCATTCTCTCCTGATGTTTTGCCTGCATCTGTGGCAAYCATCCTCAGAGGTTGTGAGGTTTGTTGGAAACTAGGAAAATTGGGTTTATATATCTCCTTTTCTTCTTCTTCTTCTTCTTCTTCTTCTTCTTCTTCTTCTTCTTATTATTATTATTATTATTATTATTATTGGGTTGCTGTAGGTTTTTCTGGCTGTATGGCCACATTCTAGAAGCATTATCTCCTGACGTTTTACCTGCATCTGTGGCAAGCATCCTCAGAGGTTGTGAAGTTTGTCGGAAACTAGGAAAATTGGGTTTATATATCTCCTTTTTCCTAGCTTCCTAGTATCCAACAAACCTCACAACCTCTGAGGATGCTTGCCACAGATGCAATATAACAATAACACCTTCATTGCCACTCAACCTGCCAATGGTGGATTTGTTAATAATAACAATAATACCTTGGAAGAGTAATAATAATGATAATAATATTATTATAATAATACAATATAATAATGATAAATAATAATAATAATACCTTGCTAGCTATGCACCCTGCCGATGTTGATTTGTAAAATAATAATAATAATAATAATAATAATAATAATAATATATAATAATTATTGTATTATCGAAGGCTTTCGTGGCGGGAATCACTGGGTTGTTGTAAGTTTTTCGGGCTGTATGGCCATGTCCCAGAAGCATTCTCTCCTGACATTTCACCTGCATCTATGGCAGGCAGCCCCAGAGGTTGTGAGGTCTGTTGGAAACCAGGAAAATTGGGTTTATATATCTGTGGAATGATGTCCAGGGTGGGAGAAAGAACTCTTGTCTGCTTGAGGCAGGTGTGAGTGTTAAAACTGACGACCTTGATTAGCATTTAATGCCCAGCAGTCAATGGCCTTGCAGCTTCAAGGTCTGGCTTACAACAACCCAATAATGATTATGCCTTCACACACACACACACACACACACACAATTAATAATAATAATAAGAAGAAGAATAGTGCCTTGCTAGCCACTCACCCTGCCAATGGTGGCCTTGTAGGTCATCTTAATCTCCTGCCGCTGGGACAGGTTCCTGTTGACCAGAATGTCGATGATGGCGTCCTCGTCCGTTCCTGGCCCAGGAGAGAAAGGAAAACCATGGGTTTTGCATCCAAATTCCCCAAATGCCAGATCAATGTAATTTGCAAAGTGGGGTTCAGGGTCTCACCCAGGCCTTTCATGGCTTTGCGCAGCTTCTGGGCATCTTCGTTGGCATTGAAGTTGGATGCTCCCCGGATGGTGCCTCGGTTCCCAGCCTAGAAATACAGTTGTAATGGGGATCTTTGATAGAAACAGGTATATTTGTTGATTTTTTGCAGTGTTCATTGTTTTTTAATTGTGTTGCAACCCTCCTCAAGTTGTTAAAAGGGAAGCGCGGCTGGCTTGGATCAAAGGGCACAGTGGGTCAACAACATTGTGACCTTCCCATGAGGCTGAGAGAGTGTGACCTCCTCAATGTCCCCCAATGGGTTTCCGCAGCTGAAATGCTCCCAGCACTGTGGCTACAAAGCCTTAAGGGTGCATCTACACTGCGATGTTAATCCAGTTTAATATAACTTTAACTGACATGGCTAAATGTCATGCAATTCTGGGAGTTGTAGTTTAGTACTTTTGGGCAGAGGAAGCAAAAGACCTTTGCAGTGCTACAACTCCCATAGTTCAAAGTATGGAACAAGGATAAAGACCTTGCAAAGCTACAATTCCCAGGATTCCTTAGCACCGAACCATGCCAGTTAAAGGGGTCTCAAACTGCCTCAATTCTGCAGTGTAGACTGATGCACCCTTGCACCCGTTGTTTCTCAACCTTTTGGGTTTTCCAGGTGCTTTGTAGTCCGTCTCCTATACATAATAACAATATGAATGACAACAATATAATGATATAATAATTATGATGGAATGAATTAAGATTGTTGTTATTTAATGTAATGCTTTTGTGTTATATTGCGTTTATTGTATTGATGGGCATGGCCCTATGTAATCAGCCCCAAGTCCCCTTGAGGGAGATGAAGGCGGGGTATAAATAAAGTATTATTATTATTATTATTATTATTGCAACTGCTGGGCAATATTGGAACTAGGATTTCTAACATGAGGCTGGATGGCCCTCTGCAAGGAAGGTTTTAATAGTGGTTTCCTGCCTGACAGAAACAAGTGGGTTGAGGGCCCCTTCCAACTTTAGGATTCTATCGTTCTATTAGTATTAATAATAATAATATTAAGCAGAGGCTGGCCCTCTGTTGGGAGGGTTTCGATTGTGCTTTTCATACATAATGGCAGAAGGGAGTTGGGCTAGATGGCCTTTGTGGGTCCCTTCCAATGTTAGGATTCCATATTATTATTATTATTATTATTATTATTATTATTATTATGTAGAGGCGGGATGGCCCTCTGTCGGTAGGGTTTTGATTGTGCTTTTCCTGCATAATGGCAGAAAGGGGATCGGTCCGGATGGCCTTTGGGCGACCCCTTCCAACTCTAGGATTATATAGTTCTATTAATAATAATAATAATAATAATAATAACAACAAAGGCTAGATGTCCCTCTGTAGGTAGGGTTTCGATTGTGCCTTTCATGCATAACAGCATATAAGGGGTTAGTCTGGATGGCCTTTGGGGGACCCCTTCCAACTCCAGGATTCTATACTTACATTATCATCTTAATCATCATCATCATCGGATGGGAGAGCTTTAATAGTGTCTTCCTGCCTGGCAGAAAGAAGGAGGTTGGACTACATGGCTTTTGGGGGCCTCTTCCAACATTAGGATTCTATTGTTCTATTGTTGTTGTCGTTGTTATTGCTATTGTTATTGTTATTAAGCAGAGGCTGGATGGCCCTTTGTTGGGTTTCAATTGTGCTTTTCATGCATAAAGGCAGAAAAAAGGTTGGTCTGGATGGCCTTTGGGGGACCCCTTCCAGCTCTAGGATTCTGTACTTCTATTATTATAATTATTATTCAGCATAGGCCGGATGGCCCTCTGTCAGGAGGGTTTTGCTTGTGCTTTTCCTACATAATGACAGGAAAGGGGTTGGTCTGGATGGCCTTTGGGGGACCCCTTCCAGCTCTAGGATTCTATACTTCTATTATTATAATTATTATTAAGCATAGGCTGGATGGCCCTCTGTCAGGAGGGTTTTGCTTGTGCTTTTCCTACATAATGACAGGAAAGGGGTTGGTCTAGATGGCCTTTGGGGGCCCCTTCCAGCTCTAGGATTCTACACTTCTAATAATAATAATAATAATAATAATAATAATAATAATAATAATAATAAAAATAATAATTTCCTGCATAATGGAAGAAAAAGGCTTGGTCTGGATGGACTTTAGAGATCCCTTCCAACACTACGATTCTATAGTTCTCTTATTATTATTATTATTATTATTATTACTATTATCATCATCATCATCATCATCATCATCATTATCATCTGTCAGGAAGGCTTTAGTTGTGTCTTCCTGCCTGGCAGAAAGTAGTTGGACTGGATGGCTTTTGGGGGTCCCCTCCAACTCTAGAATTCTATATTTCTAGTTTTATTTTTTAATTATTATTATTATTAAACAGAGGCAGGATGGATGGCCCTCTGTCAGAGGGTTTTGCTTGTGCTTTTCCTGCATAATGGCAGAAAAGGGGTCAGTCCGGATGGCCTTGGGGCTCCTTCAAACTCTAGGATCCTATCATTCTATTATTATTATTATTATTATTATTATTATTCAGGGTTTCAATTGCGATTTTCATGCATAACCGAAAAAAGGGTTGGTCCGGATGGCCTTTGGGGGCCCCCTCCGACTCTAGAATTCTATAGTTCTATTATTATTATTATTATTATTATTATTATTATTATTATGCAGGGTTTCAATTGTGCTTTTCCTGCAAAATGGAAGAAAAAGGCTTGGTTTGGATGGACTTTAGAGACCCCTTCCAGCTCTATGATTCTATAGTTTTGTTATTATTATTATTATTATTAAACAGAGGCAGGATGGCTGGCCCTCTGTCAGAGGGTTTTGCTTGTGCTTTTTCCTGCATAATGGCAGAAAAYGGGTTGGTCCAGATGGCCTTTGGGGGCCCATTATTATTATTATTATTATTATTATTATTATTATTAACAACAACAACAATAATATAATAAACAGAGGCTGGATGACTCTCTGTCAGGAGGGTTTCGATTGTGTTTTTCCTGCATAATGGAAGAAAAAGGCTTGGTTTGGATGGACTTTAGAGACCCCTTCCAGCTCTATGATTCTATAGTTCTGTTGTTGTTGTTGTTGTTATTATTATTATTAAACAGAGGCYGGATGGATGGCCCTCTGTCAGAYGGTTTTGCTTGTGCTTTTCCTGCATAATGGCAGAAAAGGGGTCGGTCTGGATGAGCTTTGGGGGCCCCTTCYAACTCTCAGATCCTATCATTATGTTGTTGTTGTTGTTGTTGTTGTTGTTGTTGTTGTTGTTGTTAAGCAGGGTTTTGATTGTGCTTTTCATGCATAACGGAAAAAAGGGGTTGGTTTGGATGGCCTTTGGGGGCCCTTCCAAGTCTAGGATGGGAGGGCAAAGTCTTCCCAACGGAATCAGATAGCCTTTCCCTAGATAAGATAAGAGCAGCTCTTATCTTTCTGGCCCCGAAAATGCCAGGCGCCGCATGGCACTCACTCACCATGACGAGCCGAAAGCGGAGTTTCCTGATTCCCAGTCGGATGGATCTCTGCAAGAAAAAGAGGAAGCAAAACGCTATAGATAATATTTGACAGATTTCAAATAATAATGGGCTTCTATGATAAGGGAGAAGGGCCCATAAAACCCCATTCCTTCCTCGCAACCGGTGGCTTTTATGGGGAGTTTGGGCAAACAATCCGTATCCTGGAGCCAATCAGGAAATTAAACATAACCACGTCCACGGATCATGTACAATGTCAATTTAAGACCGGTAATGAAGACATTGCAATATTTTTCTCGGTCATAAATCTAAATGGAAATGAAGCCCAGCTATTGGAAGATTTACCCAACTATACATTAATAAGCATACATTTAAAGTGGCCTTTTGCTGATAGGAATAATTTCCAATGTGTTTTAATCTTATGTCTATGTCTTTTAATATATATATTCACTAACTTGGGTACCTGGCAGTGCCTGGGTTATTTGAGAAAGTCATTGTTTGTTTTGGGGTGTTCGGTCATATCATTTAGTTAATTAGTAACACTATCTATTAGGAAAAAAACCAGTCTTTGATTTCGTTGTTTGTGAATGCTCTCATTAGAAAATACATAATGATGTGGATGAACCACAATTCCCAAAATAGTGGGTCAATCCTCCCCAAACCAGGCCTGTATGCACATCTGGTCATGATGGATCTGTGTGCCAAGTTTGGTCCAGATCTGTCGTTGGCTGGGTTCAGTGCTCTCTGGGTGCTGGTGAACTACAACTCACACAATCAAGGTCAATTCCCACAACCCCCTGTTCAGTTGGTCATGGGGCTTCTCTGTGCCAAGTGTGGTACCAGTTCACTGTCGTTAGGGGGTCACCGTTTATCTGGATGCAGGTGAACTACAACTCCCAGATTCCGAGGGCAATCACCCCCAAACTCCACCTATATGCACAGTTGGGCATGTTGCATCTGTGTGCCAAGTTTGGGCCAGATCCATTATTGATGGGGTCCAGAGTGCTCTGGATGTAGGTGAACTACAACTCCCACATTCCGAGGGCAATTGCCCCCAAACTCCACCTCTATGCACAGTTGGGCAGGTTGAGTCTTTCTGCCAAATTTGGGCCAGATCCATTATTGATGGGGTCCAGAGTGCTCTGGATGTAGGTGAACTACAACTCCCAGATTCCGAGGGCAATCGCCCCCAAACTCCACCTCTATGCACAGTTGGGCATGTTCCGTTTGTGTGCCAAGTTTGGTCCAGATCTGTTATAGATGGGGTCGAGAATGCTCTGGATGTAGGTGAACTACAACTCCCAAATTCCGAGGGCAATCACCCCCAAACTCCACCTCTATGCACAGTTGGGCATGTTGCATCTATGTGCTAAGTTTGGTCTAGATCCATTATTGATGGGGTCCAGAGTGCTCTGGATGTAGGTGAACTACAACTCCCAGTTTCCGAGGGTAATAACCCCCAAATTCTGTCTCTATGCACAGTTGGGCATGTTGCATCTATGTGCCAAGTTTGGTCCAGATCCATTACTGATGGGGTCCAAAGTGCTCCGGATGTAGGTGAATTACAACTCCAGATTCCGACAGCAATCACCCCCCTAAGTCCGCCTCTATGCAGTTGTGCATGTTGCGTCTGTGAGCCAAGTTTGGTGCAGATCTGTTATTGATGGGGTCCAGAGTGCTAGGTGAACTACAACTCCTATAAATCAAGGTCAATTCCCCACAAACCTCTTGTTCAGCTGCTGATCAATTCCTGTTTGCTGTGTGCTGTAAGAAAGGGTCGGGAAGGGTTAAATGAGAGGCAGTGGGCGGAGTCATGCAAATTCCACAGCAATGGAGAGAGTAAGGAACCCTGGGATGTCCACCCTAGGATGGACACCTCTGCCACATACACACATACGAGATAGATAGATAGATAGATAGATAGATAGATAGATAGATAGATAGATAGATAGATAGATGTATATAGAAGAGAGAGAGAGAAGATAGAAGATGTCTTATTGGAGTTATGTTTTGCTGTGTTTTAACTGTGTTGTACCCTGCCATGTTCCTTGAAATGCCTGATTTAGCCACAGTAGTCCACGCCTTAGTTACTATGATACTTCATCTTGTTGATGGGAAGCTTCCCACCGGAGTGAAAATCATCTATCGGACAGATGGCAAGCTTTTTAACCTCAGCAGACTGAAAGCCAAAACCAAGGTTACAACAACATCTGTTATAGAACTCCAGTATGCTGATGACAACATCGTCTGTGCACATTCAGAAGAAGATCTACAAGCCACTCTAAACACCTTCGCAGAAGCATACACGAAACTCGGCCTGTCATTGAACATCTGGAAAACCAAAGTGCTCTTCCAGCAGTCACCAGCCATCCCCTCTCCAATACCAGAGATACAGCTTAATGGTGTAACATTAGAAAATGCTGACCATTTCCGCTACCTTGGCAGCCACCTCTCCACCAAAGTCAACATTGACACCTAAATACAACACCGCCTGAGCTCTGCAAGTGCAGCATTTTTCCGAATGAAGCAGAGAGTGTTTGAGGACTGGGACATCCGTAGGGACCAAGGTGCTTGTTTATAAAGCTATTGTCCTCCCAACCCTGCTATATGCCTGTGAGATGTGGACTGTCTACAGACGTCACATGCAACTCCTGGAACTATTCCATCAGCGCTGCCTCCGGAAAATCCTGCAAATCTCTTGGGAAGACAGCGGACAAACGTCAGCGTGCTGTAAGAAGCAAAGACCACCAGCACTGAAGCGATGGTCCTCCGCCATCAACTCTGCTGGACCGACCACATTGTCCAGATGCCCGACCACCATCTCCCAAAGCAGTTGCTCTACTCCGAACTCAAGAAAGAATAGAAAATGGAATGTTGGTGGGCAGGAAAAGAGATTTAAAGGTGGGCTAAAAGCCAACCTTAAAAACTCTGGCATAGACACTGAGAACTGGAAAGCCCTGGCCCTTGAGTGCTCCAGCTGGAGGTCAGCTGTGACCAGCAGTGCTGTAGAATTTGAAGAGGCGCGAATGGAGGGTGAAAGAGAGAAATGTGCCAAGAGGAAGGCGCGTCAAGCCAATCCTGACCGGGACCGCCTTCCACCTGGAAACCAATGCCCTCACTGCGGGAGAAGATGCAGATCAAGAATAGGGCTTTGGAGTCACCTACGGACACACTGCCAGGACACTGATCCTGGAAGACTATTGTACTCAGACAACGAGGGATCGTCTGAGTAAGTAAATAAGTTACATCTAGACTGGATTATTGGAATGCGCTCAACGTGGGGCTGCCTTTGAAAACGGCTCGGAAACTGCAACTGGTGCAAAGATCAGCAGCCAGGCTACTAACTGGAGATAGCTATAGGGAGCACACGACACCCCTATTGAAGCAGCTCCATTGGGTGCTGGTAAGTTTCCAGTCCCAATTCAAAGTGCAGGTTGACACCTATAAATCTCTAAACAATTCGAGTCCAGCCTATCTTCATGATTGCATCCCCTCTGATTAACTGGTACAGGTTCTAAAAATCTGCCAGGGAGGCCCTCCTCACAAGCGTGGTTGGTGGGGGGCAAGGGAGAAGACCTTCCTTCTCGGTGGTGGCCCCCCGGTTTTGGAACACCCTCCCCAGAGAGATCAGGCAGGTCCCCACACTGTCCTGCATTCATAGGGACTTGAAGACATGGCTCTTCAAACAAGCTTTTGAGGATGCGTAGTCCCTAGTTGTTTGCCGCAGTACTTGCACATGTTTGCACTTTATCCCATGCCCTCTATCCATGACTGCAGCGGGCACTTACTCCATTGCTATTGTTCCTATCTACCTGCTTGAAGCCACCTTGTTTAGCAAATCGGGGCAAAATATACAATGCAAATACCTATTTTTGCTATTTCCACTCTCCCTTTGCAGTTTCCGCAAACAAGAAGCAAATTGGAGATGCAAATGCCGGCCACTTTAGAAATTAGATTCCAAGTTGAGATTCTGCTCTGAGTCTTGTTTGTACGAGGGTTGAATGAAAAGTAATGCCTCCACCTTCGTAACTCATCAACAGATGGCAGTACTGGTATGCGGCAGGTACTGGCTTGTTCAGTACACTCTCCTCTACAGTTCCATTTTGGTGGGAAGCCTTAGCATTGAACGGTTGTATTGTTATAGTGTGAAGTATGGAACACTGTGCAGGCGGTTGGTCAATGCAACTTAAGCAACATGCAATCACTGAATTCTTAATAGCAGAAGGTGTCACCCAGGGGCGGCTCAACCCATTACGCAAAGTAAGCATTTGCAGTATAGTTGATTTTGCCCAGGGGCGCTCTTGAGGTGCTCTTGGGGGAAAATAGACCTTGACATATGCGAGTTGTAGTCACTGGGATGTACAATCAAAGAGCATTTTGAACTCCACCAATGATGGAATTGAACCAAATATGGCACAAAGAACTCCCACAACGAACAGAAAATATATATCGGTGATTGGTTGGGGGGGGCAAAATACTGTTTGCTAACCGTTGAAAATTACCTAGGGCCACCTTTGGTATCACCCCAAAGGAGATTCAGAAGATAATGAATTTATTTATTTATGGTGATTGTGTTGATGTGAGTACTCTGCATCGTTGAGTAAGTTTAAAGATGTTGAGGTGACACCTTCTGCTGTCAAGAATTCAATGACTGCACATTGCTTAAGTTGCATTGATCGACCGTCTGTGCAGGGTTCCATACTTCGCACTTTAACAACACACCCATTCCATGCTAAGACTTCCCGCCAAAATGGAACTGTAGAGGAGAGTGTACTGAACAAGCCAGTATCTGCCGCATACCAGTACTGCCATCTGTTGAAGAGCTACGAAGGTGGAGGCATTACTTTTTATTCAACCCTCATACAAAGCAAAAGGGGCACATAAATATATTAATAAAATTATTATTATTATTATTATTATTATTATTATTATTATTATTATTATTATTATCTAACTTGAGTACCCAGCAATACGTGGGTGTGAAGGAGTCCGTGTATTACTGCTCCTAATTGTAAAGGCTTGGCCACTATTTTGTAATGATGTATAAATATAACTGCTACTAATTTGTAGAGAGTTGGTAAAAAAAGCCACCTCTTTGTGAGGACGTATTAAATTGATAACACAACCAATAGTTTGTAATATTGCTTTGGTCTTTCTTCAATATGTAGCGTGACTTGACTTGGAAAGGAACTGTAACATAGACTTGACTTTAAAAAGAAACTGTAACAAGTTTATTGAGGTACAGAAGCTTTATGGTTTCAAAGTTTCCTTTCTCTTAGAGGTACAGATCTTCAATGGTTACATTCATAATAGTTCTTAAATAACTCCTAGGAAGTCTAATTCTTCCGACAAACTAGGTCTCAAACTTAGTTCCTTTAAAATATGTTTCTTCCTTTAACAGATTGTTTCAGGCACATGCTTATTCTTTCTTTATGATGGTTCTATTACAATAAAGATGCTTATTAGGGCTTCCCCCCTTTTTCCACAACCGTTACTTTTAATATAAATAAGTCACTCGACTTATCTAAACTATATTGGCTCAAAACCAAAAACTTCCTGATTTTTAATTCCAAAGAATCAGCCTTCCCCTGTAGTTCTTTAACTACAGAATCTTCACTGGTTCTCCACACACAACAGAACCAGCCACTTCTGCAGTTCACCGACCACAGACTGACTGCTTTAAAATGGCTGCTCTGCCAAGTGGCAGTTGGCTCCGCCCCTATCTCCATAGCAACTAAGCTCAAAGCGAGCTGAGCTGGCTACCATCCCCCAATATTATGCAACATTATATACTTACCCTTACAAACACCTATCTATAACAATACATAACTGTAGATAAAAATTTACACTTCATCACAGTGGGTTATTTGAAGAAGGAATTCTATGTTTTGCAGTTAGTTCCAGGTCCATCCTTGATGGAGTTCAGACTGCAGTTCTTAGATTGCAGGTGAACTATACATCCCAGTACCTACAACTCCTAGAAATCATAGTGAATTCTCCCCAAACCTCTCTAGTATGGGCACCACAATTCAAGAGAGATATTGACAAGCTGGAATGTGTCCAGAGAAGGGCGACTAAAATGATCAAGGGTCTGGAGAACAAGCCCTATGAGGAGTGGCTTAAGGAGCTGGGCATGTTTAGCCTGAAGAAGAGAAGGCTGAGAGGAGATATGATAGCCATGTATAAATATGTGAGAGGAAGCCACAGGGAGGAGGGAGCAAGCTTGTTTTCTGCTTCCCTGGAGACTAGGACGCAGAACAATGGCTTCAAACTACAAGAGAGGAGATTCCATCTGAACATGAGGAAGAACTTCCTGACTGTGAGAGCCGTTCAGCAGTGGAACTCTCTGCCCCGGAATGTGGTGGAGGTTCCTTCTTTGGAAGCTTTTAAACAGAGGCTAGATGGCCATCTGTCAGGGGTGATTTGAATGCAATATTCCTGCTTCTTGGCGGGGGTTGGACTGGATGGCCCATGAGGTCTCTTCCAACTCTTTGATTCTATGATCTATGATCTATGATCTATGTTCAATTGCTGATCAATTCCTCTATTTGCTGTGTGGCATAGAAAAGAACAGGAAAGGGTTAAGGGAGAGGCAGTAGGTGGAGTCATGCAAATCCCACACCAATGAAGAGAGTAAGAAGCACTGGGATGTCTGTGGTGGAGGAAACACATAAAATCTAGGATGAAATTTCCCCGCAGGAAAGCCTTCACTTGGGTGGTAGGCAGGATGGTGTTGGTGGAGGACATTGGCAGGATTCTTGGACATGTTTATGGTGCTCACTATAACCTGCAATGTCATTGGAGGGAGGGCCATTGGTGTCCTCTGAGCAGTGGGAGCTAGAGCTATTGTGGAGGCAGGAACTTGTCTCTGTGTAAGTGGACACCCCAGGCATATACAGACATATACCGTATATTCCGGCATATAAGACGACTGGGTGTATAAGACGACCCCCAACTTTTCCAGTTAAAATATAGAGATTAAGACGACTCCCATGCATAAGACTACACCCGCGTATAAGACGACCCCTGATTTTTGAGAAGATTTTCTTGGGTTAAAAAGTAGTCTTATACGCCAGAATATACTGTACATATTTTCATTTTTATTATTCGTATAGATAGATTTGTCAGTATACAATTAATCTCTCTCTCTCCCTTATAGACTTCAAACCTTTTGAATCTTACAAGCTTCAGTCCTAGGCAAAGCAAAGCAAATGTCCTGCAACTCCCATTATTCTCCATCATCAACCAAGCTGAGAATGGGTGCATTAATCCCACACGGTAGGATTAATGCAATTTTGGCACCACTTTTAAGTGCCACGGCTCAATGCTAGGAAATCTTGCACTATCAAGGCCTTGCAAAACTACAGCTCCCAGGATTTCATAGCCTTAACCATTGCACTTAAAGCAGTGCCAATACTGCCTCAATGCTACCGTCTAGGCGCACACTTTGGAATGCAAATCATCCGTATCGGAGTTTAGGCAATGAAAATATAAATAGGATCAGCACTGTTTTCTTTTCCATCTTGCTTTGCAAAGACTCTTCTTCCAAATCACCACAAGTGGAAAGTCCTGTTTTCTATTTGGAGAAATGAAGTCAGCAACTCCCCATAAAGAGCTGGTTTCTGTTAGTATTCAGTAGGATTTGAGAAAAGGGCCATTCATTCCAATTCATTCCGATTCCAGATTTTCAGGAGATGTCTATGGAAACTTTCCCCAGCAA